CAATAAAGGGAGTCTTTCAAACATAATATGTAACAAGAATTTACCTCACAAAATTGGAGATCATGTTTATAATGAGAATAGACTAAATGTACAATATAATGAATTTCTCTTAAAAATGAATATATAAATAGCATATCATAATTTGACAATATAGGCTACAGCATCAATGGAAGAATATTTTATTTATATTTACTTGCTTCGTTAGTTTACAAGAACTGTTCATGCAGCTATAAACCATGGAGATTCAACTAGAGAAGGTAATGGGGACATGCCGATGCACACTCTATGGGCATGTTCCAACGGCCGATAGTGTGTTATTAATCACCATGAAAGGGCTGTGTCCAACCCTACAAACAACTCCATTTTGAAAAATTCTGGAATTCCCCTTCGATGCTGCTCGCATGGCATGCATTTTGGGGAAGTTTGGGAGAGAGAGAGAGAATATCATGATCTATACACAATCATATGTGAAAACTTATAGATCCATAAAAAAATAGAAAGAGATAGAGAGAAAGTTGATCATACTGCTTAGACATGACTACCTTTAATAGGTGAAACACCATGGTTGAAAAGCCACTGATTTGGGAATAACTTTCTTAGTATTTATGCATGCACTTATACATCCTACACACATACAACATAGCATCCATCTATAGCAGTAGTTAGTTACAGATAAAGTTTCTGAATTTTACATAAATGTACAAGCACATACACAACTGAACAAAACAATCAAAGAATAAAAACAAAAATCCAATAGGATACAATTATTATGATTTTAAAAAAAAATATTATGATACCAGAAATTCACTATTCTAGTTTGTTTTCTTAAAAACTGGTTTCTAAACACTATTTCATGATGATGTATGGTTTGAGATATTTGTAATTCATAATACTTTCCATTACCAACTCCTGTTAAGAGGTAATAACCTAAGTTAAATGACAATGCCTAATTTAATCAGATTAGTTGAAATTGAAAGGATCCTTAATTCCATGATACCTGTAATTTCAAGACTAGAAAGTTCTAGACCAAAAACTGAACATTCTAAAGAAAATAAATAAAAACTACATTCCCAACTTTCAAACTTACAGATCATTTGCATAGGATAAGGGTGAAAATATCTTCACACAAAGAACATAATTTATACGTGTATACAACATAAGGCAAGGAACACAATGACATTTTCATGCAAATGAGTGATGTCACAATGCAAAAGCATGATGTCACAATACAATGGAGTAACGTCCACTGTTCCTATGAGAGAGAGGTCACAATATTGAGGCGTGACATCACAATAAAACATAGTGATAGCATAATGCCAAATAGTGACATCACAATGCCAAATAGTGACATCACAATGCCAAAGAGTAACATTACAATGCACACACGATCGACAAACCATAGGCATGATACCATATCAAAATATATTATGAGGAATTCACATCCATGATATAAACAAGGAAATTGTAACAATTTTATGGAAAGGTTTTTAGCAAGACATTGATCTACAGTTGCCACACTCTATCCAGGTGAAGTAAATGGGTACCTGGTAGGAATTTATTCCTTGATTCGCAGCGCGCGTAACAGCTGCACTGCTACAGCCAGGGTAATTATGTTGCATTAATGTAGAGCGCTTAGAGACTTCTGACAAAGTAAGTGTTAGGCGCTATATAAGCAAGGATAATTATTATTATTAAACAGTACACATTGAAATCCCAAGTTGCCATCTTGTTTTTGAGAATACAGTTTGTTCCACTAGGCATAGAAAGCAACCAAAGAGTTAAAGTCAAGAGCAGAGGGAAGAAGGACAGTGTAATGGGTGATCAATGTGATCATGAGAGACAAATACAAGGGGATGGGCCAATAAAAATAATGTGTGTTGAAAACGTTTTAGAGAAAGAGATAAAGGAACAATCACAGATAGAGAGAGAGAGAGAGAGAGAGAGAGAGAGATACAGACAGAGACAAAAAGAAACAGAGAGAATTACAAACAGACAGAGACAGAGTGACAGAGAGATAGAGAGACAGACAGACAGGCAGAAATAGAGGAGAGGGGGAGATAGAGGAGGATATGGAGGACAGGGGGAGACAGAGTGTACCAATGAAGCCAGAATGGACAGATCAAGAGAAATCCCTCCAGTGGAACCAAAAAATAAATAAAAAAACAGGCACTACACAAATTGAGTTACATTTGTAAGTTGGATGATACATGTATAAAATCTACATTTGCTTCAGGATTAAAACCTTCAAAGATGATAGACGTACACTGTACATGTGGCATCCATCCTTTGCTTCCCTTAGCAGACCACAGCCTGTGAAAGAGTTCATAAGTCTTCTGCCTTATCATGAAGTTGCAGCATTAAAAACAATGCACTTCTGGAGAAGACTTTCTGGGCCGTGTCTTATAAAGAGTTGCAATCGATCCAAATCAATCACAAGTTCTCCAATCAATCACAAGTTTGCAGTCTCCTTTCTCTTCTGTACATAGTTACTATAAGGGAGTTTACAGATACAATCTGCGCATGGGCAGATAAAGGTCATTTGTACCAAAAAGGTAAAACCACAGAGATGAATACTGGATATGCGCTCATGAAAGTTATGCAACATTATTCATTTATGCACCAATGGTACATTCTATGATACGCAGGTGGAAGTATTCTTTTCAAGAGGGCAAACAAAAGGTATTCATGAAGCACATCTAGGACTTTGGCAGTTATTATTCTAATATGCTCAAAGTGGAACTTCTCCATGTGTAAAAGATCTGTGGATATTTGGGGTCATTTGTACCATGTGCTATCTGTAAACTCCCTTATTGGTATCAATAAGTTGCGATTAAAATCAACTCTTTGTAAGACAGGGCCCTGGGACCTATATCGACACCAATTTAGTGTTATAGGTATGAGGGTTACCTATCTCTTGTGTGTTAATATGGGTGCTTGGTATTAATATCAATACAAAGGTATGGCCTAAAGGTAAACACTATTAGAGGTGTATTTCATATCATGGGTGTTATTAAGTGTTTGGTGTAAGCTTAGCACATGTAAGCGGCATCACACAAAGTAACCAATGAATTAACACTAACACTAACACTACATGTAACACTAAACAGAAAAACACCCGCGAGAAATGAAACTAATGACTAGCGTACACACGGACTAATATTTTATGAACATTATATGGTTTATGATTTCATTGTAAAAATATAATATCTATATCATTTAAACGTATTAATCACTCATATAACTCTGATTCATGAAATTGCTGTTGTAGTAAATACATGCTTTCATCAACACTGGGTATATCTGCTCATTAATAAAAGTGGTTGAATGGTATCAAATCTTCCTTTAAGTAACACATTTGCCATGAGGTGAGTATGTATGAAAGAAAGGATACCTGTCTGTACAGATGCTTCAATACTCAAGTAATGCATGGATTATCAAACTTTAGCATGAAATGTTTTTTTTTAGAGATGAGGGAATTTATCTCAATGGCTATTAACGGAAAACAAACACTGCAATTTGGAAAATTGACCCAAGTCCCACTAGTGTAATTTTGTGTTTCCTTTCTATAATTGCAGTCATTGAGTAAACAAAGAAAATATTTTGTGTCTTTCAGTCAAAATTTAAAAACCCAACCTTGGTAATTAAATCTTCAATTCATTGGCATCTGAAATATCACGGTCAACAGTTATCAAAAACGGATCCACATTTGAAAGTTTATGTTATCAATTTCTCAATCGAAATGTACAAGTACAGTTGTGCTCATGACTTATTCAGAAATAGATTTCAAGTAGACTTAACAAATAGAAATCTTATCAAAATGTGAAAATATCTGAAGTAATTGTAAATAGAATACCTGGTATTGTGCAAATTCTTCCATCGCAATGTTATTTAATGATGCGCATGATTTTATTTCTCAACATTAAAGCATACTGAAAATCGGAATACTATTCCAAGATGTTGATTGGAATTGAAGGCATTGCGATGATTAAGTACGGTTTGTTTCCAAAAGTGGCAGTGTAGAATAAGGATCACCCAATCATGACTCCTTATTTTCATCAATTTGATACTCAAATTGGTATACACAATAAAAGGGGGGATAAGGATGACAGAGAGGGAAAGAGAGAGAGAGGGAGAGGGAGAGAAGTGGAGAAAGAGAGAGAGGTGGAGGGAGAGAAAGAGATAGAGAGAGAGAGAGAGAGAGAGAGAGAGAGAGGAAAGAGAGAAATGGAGAGAGCAGGAGAGAGAGGGGTAAAGATAGAGAGATAGAGAGATAGAGAGATAGAGAGAGAAAGAGGGGAGATAGAGAGGGAGAAAAAAGTGAAAGAGAGACAGAGAGAAAGAAAGACAGTGGAAAGATATAAATCTATGTTTGCCACTCTCCACCCAGGTGAGGTGAATGGGTACCCAGTAGGAAGAAATTTGTTGAATGCTTGAGCCCCTTTCATGGTAGCTCAGCTCAAGTCGGGGTAACAATATGATTGCAGGACCCTCAGGGAGAACAGTATTAATACTGATGAGGCTACCCTGGTTAAACAAGACATCTTATTATGAATTATTATGATTATGAATGAATTTGGAAGTGGTCATTTACATGTATGCTGATCACAAGATTCTCCACCTTTAGCACATGCCAATCTGCACTCATGGAGAAAAACAGGTTACATATAACTACCTACAGTATTAAAAGGGTTTATAGGAATTTTAGTACAGAAATCTTCAGTATTATGCTGATATTCCTTACGATGTTTGAAATGGTAGAAGAAAAGTCTTAGTGTCGATTGATGAGATGGATGATGTTAATCTACATCATGCGATCATGCACCACTGAGCAGGACTGCTTATAATACTCATATCCATTGTCTGTGTAAACTAGAGAGCATGGCACATCGGCGAATGTGTAAAACTTCAGACATGGTATATAAAGAGTTTCCCAAAGGAAAACATTACATCTCTAAAACAGTGTAATATTAAGTTGTAAATATCATTCATACTTAATTTTCTTTTTTCTATTAACAAGTTCCATACAATTAAGTCAAAGCGGTATGGCTTAACATTTTCATGCTACAGAAACTTGATCTCATAACTTGACCCCAGCCTGTGGAGTCTCTATTTCAAGTCATCAGTCGTTCCCTCCCTCCATCACTTGAAAATGCCAGGCAGTTTCCTCTCATGTGTCATCCGTTCGATGATTGAGCGATAGATGAAAAGCATGAAGAATTTACAGAGTAATGAAATGGCATGCGAGAGAGTGAGTTTCCGCCACGGACCAAAGCGTTTCGGGTCGGCAGCAACTTTATCGTTTATTTCTTGAGCGAGATATATTCTACTGAGGGTAAAGTCCGGGCGGGTGTGACCCGGGCGGCTTTTACCGATCGAGTTCGTCATATTTTTGAAGCGCCTCCTCCAGCTTGATGGTAAGGCTCTTGTAAAACTTGATTTGTTCCTTTAAGTAGACCTGCATGATCCACTTGAAGTCTTCTACTCGCTCCCTGTGGAAGTGATTTACCTCAGCTGAAAATAAAAGAGAGAGAGGTCATGAGAAGAGTGATTAAAGCCATCGTTTAACAATGTTAAATGTGAGATGGATGGCCCTACGTGTTATTAGTGTCTGTGATATAGGTGTATTATTGAAGCCCTAACAAAATTGCACTTCAAAATGATCAAGAAGTGCTCAAAAAAGTAAAAATCTTTGAGTGACCGGTTTTACCATACTTGTTTTCCCCAGTAGACTGTAGTGTTATGAAAACCGTTAGGAAAATTCAAAATTTGGTTTCAATTTCCAATCATAAATATCTTGATAATCAGACAGGCGATCAGCTTGTAAAAGTCATGGGGTTTCTGACTGACAAAGGTTTATAATTATTGTTGCAGCATGAGCTAAATCCAGGATTTTGTTTCGGAATCTGGGACAAAGTTACTGGATCCCTTTAACGCCTATCTGCACTAGTTTGGCCAGGAGGGATTAGACCTCCCTGCGTGGTCACTGACAGGTGGTTATCTCATCAAATCAGCTCTCAATTAACATAAGAAAAAGGGGACCATGGGGAACCAACAGGTATCGCTTAGGTATTGTTTGCTATATAGAGGGCGCAAGTAGCTACAAGTAGTGCAGTCCCTCTTTAAAAAGGGATAGTGGGATACAAGAAAAAAATCAGAATAGTTATGATTTCTGCACTGAAAAAAAAGAATCATGAACTGTCACTGTTACGCTTAGTCATGTGGGAGATATTTGAAACCCATTATAACAATGAAACAAAACACTTCAACACAAAAGTAACTTTGAAACATTCAAGTATGATAAGTAGTCATAAACCAGGTAGCACAGAAAAAGGTAACATACTGTATATCTTGTTCCCTCCAAATCTCTGTTAACCCTTAAGCAACTTGTCCGCCCGAACCCGCTCCTCCTTTTACTCACTGAACAGCCCGAAACCGCCCGTCCGTTTTCAACATGCTGTAGTATCCTTCTATGGGGTCTACCATGATAATGTGAATATGTGCGTAATCCTTACAATGTCTACACTAGGATTCTGCATAAGCATAGCAAAATAGCGCATGTTTCATATTGTTCAAAACAATATTAAAAGAAGAGCAATATTGCGACATCTTCCAGTGAGTAATAGCCCATTTTTACAAAATCTCTAGTTGCTATTAAATGGGTTAAACCTTTCCATCAATAAACAGGTTCAGATTTTGTTGTACTCTTGCTTCATCTTTTTGTAGCATTTTGTATATTGGCATATTTTTTTTTTAAAGGTAAAGACCAGTATTGGAAACGCCCCAATTTCAAAAAGTGAAATGGAAGCTCCTATTTCCAATCATGTGAAAGAATATGTTTTAATTAATACATGATGATAACAATTTTGCCAGGAAAGCGCCTACTAATTGATATATTTGGTAAATTAGGTTATCTATTGTTATGTGATTGATAAACGCATGTGTCGCGCACGTGTGCATAGTCCCATATACATCTTTCTGTGTACAGTGCTTGTAACTTTACGAAGACTGGGCCAAATTTCTTATCATTTTGATGATTCCAGAACCTTGCAGTACACACCAATACTTATATGCTAGATGATCAACGTTTTTCTGATCGATTCCACAACGTTTCTTTCACAATGCAATCGCATGACCATTTATAACTGGTCTTTATCTTTAAGGAGAGGGTAGTGGTATTGTTCTTATGTTCTTTTGACTGAAACCATCATTCTTACCCATCATGGCATATGAGATGACGTCTGCTCGTTTCTTGACCGCTTCTGCTTCTTCAAAGTCCATCTTCTGTTCTTCTCTCTGCTTCTGACATTCCTTGACCGTCTGTACCGTGTGCTATAGGGGCAAAGAAATATCACTTACATTAGTGGTGCCTTGCTCTATTTCTACTACCAAAACTATTACTACTCCCACAGCTATGTCTACTAGCATTACTATTACTACTACCACAACTATTACTACTACCACAACTATGTCTACTAGCATTACTATTACTACTACCACAACTATTACTACTACCACAACTATGTCTACTAGCATTACTATTATTACTACTACAACTATTACTACTACCACAACTATTACTACAAACACAACTATTACTACTACCACAACTATTTCTACTTCCACAACTATTACTACTACCATAATTATTTGTACTACCACAACTGTTACTACTACCACAAAATATTTTACTACAACTGTTACTACCACAACTATTGGTACTACCACAACTATTTCTACTAGCACAACTATTATTAGTACTACATCTATTAATACTACCACAACTATTACTACTACCATAATTATTTCTACTACCACAACTGTTACTACTACCACAACATATTTTACTACCACAACTGTTACTACCACAACTATTGGTACTACCACAACTATTTCTACTAGCACAACTATTATTAGTACTACAACTATTACTACTCCCACAACCATTTCTACTACAACTGTTACTACTACCACAACTATTACTACTGCCATAACTATTGCTACTGCCACAAATATTTCTACTTGCACAACTATTTTTACTACTACAACTATTACTACTCCCACAACTATTTCTACTACCACAACTATTACTACTACCACAATTATTTCTACTACCGCAACTGTTACTGCTACCACAACTATTTTACTACCACAACTGTTAATACCACAACTATTACTATTACTACAACTATTACTACTACCACAACTGTTACTAGTACCACAACTCTTCCTACTGCCACAACTATATCTAATTTAGTAGTATTTGAAGTATTATTGGGTATGGTAACATGGTAGATTTAGATAATTTATTGCCATTGAAGGACATATGAAGTTGTAGTAACAGTCGTGTTAGTAGAAATAGTTGTGGTAGTAGAAAGAGTTCTATACAGTTCTATAAGTTATCGTACCTTGTGAAAGTGTATCATATCAGGAAAGCATGACATCATTCCACCATACTCCTTTAAGAAATCTTCAAATGGATGGAGATCGTATTTGGGTTGCTGGTAGAACAGTTCTCCGATCTCCTCGTACGTCTTACCGGTGAAGTTCAGGGCCTCCGTCAGCTGCACAGATTCTAAAGATGAAAACCAGGGAGACATGTTATGACTTGGGAATGTGTTAAAGACACTCAGTAGTTAGCTCTCATGGGGAATTCAACACCGTTCGGGTGTTTACCCAATAACAGGTGTTGGCCATTACCAGGGTTAGCCTTGAGTTTTATGACAATTCGACCTTATGTAATGCTTTGATTTTCCCTCACCCGATCCGAAGCGGGATCCGAAGCTAGACTCTCCGGGAGATAAGGGGGTAATTCTTGACTGGCCAACAGGTTTGCTGTGTGCAGATTTGTACTCCCATTAATGGTTTTCCCACCAAGTCTGGTGTCAGCGAATTATGGCCTTCTGCACATGGAAACTGACACGTGACTCCCTTCAAATCTTATCCTGCCAAAATGAATACAGCCTAATGCCACAGGGCTATCTCCATTGTGCCAAGCCTCAAATCCCCCTGTGCCAAGTTAATTTTGAGATAATCGGATTTACGCGATGGTACTATCAATAGCACGTGCGAAACACTAGGCACAGTACAATGAGTATGAACAATAACTGCTATTACAAATGCGAGCAATCATGCATAAAGCACCAAAGCGATGGGTTGCTCGTTTGAATTAAGCACCCAACCAACAGCGCGCTCGCGTGTACAAACAACTATAACAGTAGCGTGCATGCATCCTTATGGCAGGATATGACTTAATAATTGGAGAAGATTTCTTTTCCTTCTTTTCTCATTTCCTTTCCTTTTTTAATAGATTAATCCTTGGGCAAGCTTCGACTTCGGCTTCGACTTCGACTTAATAGAGGGGATTTAGCATGACGAGACTACGTGTCTTTCCAGTGGCCTGACTCAGGACCAATCGGGTATAATACGACTACAGACGACACGACCGCAGTGTTCACATGCATGCAACATACGCAAAACCGAAACGCCAGTAGAACTTTGGTCTGTTTTGCAAACGCGTTAACCAGTATTTGCCATGCTACACCCCCTTAAAATGTAGCCTATTTTGGCACCATGCTTATGACCAGGAGTGGACAAGGATTTTCTGACTTTTTCTTTAATAAAAGGTTCTTCCTTGTTCACCTAAATGAAGCCTATTTTATGTGCATATTTGTGTCCATTGCAAGTATGTTTTTATCTGTGTGCAGTGCTTTTCACTATTTGTAAAAATTAAGAAAAAAAAATTAGGATTGAGAAAAAGTTCTTGAGAAAGGTGATTTTTTCCCCCTCTGTTTAATAAAAGGCGATTTGTAAAAATTCAGAAAAAAAATTAGGATTGAGAACAAGTTCTTGAGAAAGGTGATTTTTTCCCCCTCTGTTTAATAAAAGGCGATTTGTAAAAGTTTCAGAAAAAAAAATTAGGATTGAGAACAAGTTCTTGAGAAAGGTGATTTTTCCCCCCTCTGTTTAATAGAAGGCAATTACTTAGATGAGTTTGGCAAACCTAGGTTCACTCTAACCATGCATGTACGTGTGTGAACATTGCAACATATACAAGTGCAGTGCTTTTCAATATTCAGCAACACTTCTTTTTGTGCGTGTGTAATTAAGGTGCTTTATGTTAAATGTGTGTTTTACAGAGTCAAGTCAAAACATTGTCAATGTTTTTTTTATTTGGCTATTACTAAAGAAATATATATGATTTATATATGATAAATTCCCTCTTCTTTTCTTCTATAGTTGGAATACTGGTGGCAAACATATCCCAATTGATGTTGGTTGTTAAATATGTATGGTCGGTAGTTTCTCAAATGCTTATACATCTGAAAGTTTATGCAATAGTCATTAAATTTGAGATATTGGTAGAAAGCTTATTCCAACTGCTTGTTTTATAGATGTACGTGTGACAGTTTTTTATCTGAAATTGTATGCAATAGCAAGTAAATGTGGGATACTGGCAGCAAACATATCCCCATTGATGTTTGTTGTTAAAGATGTATGGGTGATAGTTTTTTAAATGCCTATAAATCTGAAAGAGTATACAATAGTCAGTAAATGTAGGATACTGTTAGCAAGCATATCCCCATTGATGTTTGTTGTTAAAGATGTATGGGTGATAGTTTTTTAAATGCCTATAAATCTGAAAGAGTATACAATAGTCAGTAAATGTAGGATACTGTTAGCAAGCATATCCCCATTGATGTTTGTTGTTAAAGATGTATGGGTGATAGTTTTTTAAATGCCTATAAATCTGAAAGAGTATACAATAGTCAGTAAATGTGGGATACTGTTAGCAAGCATATCCCCATTGATGTTTTTTTTATTTTATAGATGTACCGTATGTGAGATATTATTTTGTTAAATGCCTATGAACCTGAAATATAAAATGAAAGTGAAAGAGCTCAGTGCATGAACTCAGCGCACAGAAGAGCAGATAGATATAAAATATCACACTTCTGAGAAATATCCAAATAAAAAGAAAATAAAAGACAAAATTATATCAAACAACTCAGTGATTTAAGTCCCCAAAATAATGTTAAAGAAAATGATCAAATAATGATATGAATAAAATAAAATAATAGAGTCCCAAAACCCATTTTATGAATGAAAGAAAGCAATTGCATGATATGATCGATAAAAAAATAGCTTTTTGATAAAATGTAAATAAATGTAAATAAATGAGTTATTAAAGAAGATGAGAGGGGAAAGAGTATGGTAATAAATAGAGAGATGAAAAAGCCCAAAACAAATTGAAGAAAAAATCAGTTAGATATGTAGAAAGTATGAACAAATTAATTAAAATATCTTAGCCAGAAACATGGCGGCAAAAATGTAAGCAAATTACAAAACAAAGCACAATTCTTAGTTGATATCCTTTTTTTCCATATCATTTGATTTAAATCAGATTTTATGAAATAAGATCAATTAGTTTCCTTTACCAGAAAATGAAAATTCATTACGTCTTGTCTTACATTTATTGTTTGGTGCCCCCCCCCCCCACCCACCCTGTGAATATCATAAATGAATGAATATAAATCAAATGTGAAAGGGTGTTAGCGAAAGAAACAATATGAAAATAAATGTGAAATATATAAATGAAAAGCAAAATAAAATAAAAGATTGGATATCTCTCTACCTTGAGGCGGATCATCCTTCCCTTCAGGGTCTGTGGAAACAGGGCATTACCATATATGGGAAGGGGGAGGAGACAAATACAGTTAAGACATCATGCATATTCATTACACTCATAAATATTCATCCAGACAAGTGTGTGCAGATGGCAAAGCACAGCTTAAATGGTTCACGACCTCAGAAACAAAACCCATTTTTTTTTGGTATTATTTTGTTTGAATCAACAATCGATGGCAATCATGAAATGACACAGATCATATGAAAAAGGTGTAGAATACCGGTATACAGTTTATTTTTTCCTTTTTTTTTCTTCTCACTAATATTTGTATCATTATTGTTTTAATTTGTTTTTAACAATTATTATAAATAATAATAATAACAATAATACCAAGAGTTCCATATCAGGACACTTTTTTATACTTTGCTAAACCTATGCTTTGCCACTGCAGAAAAAAATCATAAGAATTTTTTTTTTTTTTAAATCATACAACACTTAAAGCTTATCTGCCGTAGTTTACAGGAGGGATTAGACTGCCCTGCAAGGTCACTGGACAGGTGGTTATCTCATCAACTCAGCTCTCAGTTAACATAAGAAAAAGAGGATCATGGGGGACCAATGGTCACTGATTAGGCATTGTTTGTTATATAGAGGGCGCAAGTAGCTACAAGTAGTGCAGTGGGCCTTTAAAAGACAGTGTAATGTAAAATATCATGCACTACAGCCAAAACATAGTGAAAGTAATGCAGCCCCAAGTAAAAATAAAATATATAATTGATCATTCCACATGCTACAATAGCACATTCATAAATTCATTTAAATTCACAAATAAGAGACACAGCCTTTAATGTTTTCACACACAATTGTTTAAGTATATGTTTTTATGGTACTTCCTAGATAACAAAAACTAAATTCTTCTATTTTCTTCTGGAAACATTTTGAAAATTTATGGCTAAGGATTTGGAACAAAAAGATAGTTGAAGAAATACACTCAGAGTTGAAAATAGTTCAAAAACATAATTTTACTTTCTCACTATTTTTCGACTATTTTGACTAGGAAGAACTGTCTTTAAAAAAAAAAGGAAAACATGCATGTTCTGATAGACTACGTGTGAACAATTTATATTCAGAGCACATTTGAGCATTTCATTTTAGTAACCCAACTTAAGGTAAAATACTTTGATACTGATAAGCGTTGCGCCATCACGTTGTCAATCAAATGCCAAAATATTGTGCAATTGAAAATTTGCTATTTAAAAATAAAAATTTCCATTTCAAAGGTTCAAATGAATGCCAAAGTTGGCTAAGTATTCACTTGAATACTGGCCCTTTTCTTATCCATGCTATAACAGATCCTTATTTGAGCGTTTTGACAAAATATGACTGAGTCATACACATGCTAGTCCTGGCCATACAGGTCATTTTGATTGCAAAAACTCACTCGGCCTGTTGTCGAGGTTGAAGGTTGTTGCTAGCTCCGTGAAGGAATTGCCAATTTTCTGGTATTCTCTCTTGAAAGCTGTAGATGGGACAATATACGAAATACATGAATGAAGATTGAGTTTGAAAAAAAAAAATCATAATTGCAAAACATGTACAAGAATAATCTTTGGGTATTATCTTCATACGTCACTTATGAATAGAGAATTTGAATGGCTCAGGGAAAATTTGTCACAGAAATTTAGCATTTTTTTTTTTTAATAGGTTTTTTGAAAAGGGCCCTGAGCTAATCTAGAGTCAGGTCAATCCCTACTTTGTTATTTAACCCTGATATAAAGCCCATTTTGATACATTTCTCCAACAATGCCTAGTAGGCCTATTCACTTCACCACTATTAAAAAGGAACATGTTGCAATGGTGACATAAGTTCTAAATGTTTCTTGCTGTAGTTATATCATAATTATGACCTGGGCTAGTCAAGAGCCAAGTAAGAAACTAATTTTGCCCAGATATCAAACTGATTTTGATCAATTACTCCAACAAGGCCTATTCACTACACCACTATAAGGAAACATTTTAGAATGGTGACTTACGTCCTAAATGTTTCTTGCTGTAATCATGTATAACTTGTTGGATCACTGCTACACTGGAGTCAAAACTCTTGGTGAAACGTGTGAATGTGTCGTGCTGTCTCTCACTGTCAGGTAAATAGAACAACACAAGATTTTGAAGAGTAACTCAATAAACATACATGGTTGGATGAATGATCGAATGAATGCATGAACAAACAAACAAACAAAAAAACAAGCAAGGAAACAAACACTTTTATAAATAAAAACTTGGAAATAATCATCCTACTGCCCTGAAAATAAAAGAAGCATACAACTTTGAATAGTAAATCAATAAATACATGTGGATGGATGGATGAATGAATGAACAAACAAATATAGATGGATGCAACGATAGACAGACTGTTGGATAAACAAACAAAATAAATGTACGGCCGGTGCATAAATGAAAACTGATTACATATCTTTCATGAGCACGAATCTAGTATTCGTCTCAATTGGTTTTACAATTTGGAAACAAATGGCCTTGATCTGCCCATGCCCAGATAGTTTACGAACTGGCTTACTAGGGACTTTTAGATTTGCACAACGACAACGTGGATTGCTATGATCAACGTCCTTTTAATGCACTGCCTTGAATGGACATCACACGAATCAGTCCACGCAAATCTAAAAGTCCCTACTATGACCTTCTGCACATGGAAAGTGACGACCGCCTCCCTCTAGCAGTGTGTATACTCACATGGTTGCTACGTCTAGGTTGTTTGCAGGAGGTTCAATGTTCTGATAGAATGCTGCCCCTAAAAATTCATCCTTCTCTGCCTTCCTCTTCCCTTGTTTCCATAGCTACACGCAAAGATAAATGATAAACAGAGTATTAACGTTTTGTTTTAATTATTGGAAAAACATTTTGCAGTGTGTACTTTGAGTATTACAAAATGTTGGATTATGCCTTTTGTGCCGTAAAAGTTTCCAGCACACATGTTGTGAAAGGACTTTCAAACTTCAATTCAGTATTTTTGTATAATTGTTAGTTTGGCTCCAAAATATCTTCCAAGGGCATATACTTTATCTGCCCCGAGGAAGTAAAAAGAATCCTCTGAGAAAAACTGGCAACAAAAATAAAGAAGAGACAGAAAAAGAATAGGAGGAAGAGGCAACCGTGGAAGAGGAGGAAGAAGAGGAGGAAGAAGAAGAGGGAAGAGGAGTGAGAGAAGGAGGAAAAAGAGAAAGAAGAGAAGGGAGAGGACAAGGAGGAGGAAGAGGAGGAGGAAGAGGAAAAAGACGAGGAGAAAAAGGAGGGAGAGGAGGAGGGAGAGGAAGAGGAGGAAAAAGAGGAGGAAGAAGAGAAGGGAAAAGAAAAGGAGGAGGAAGAGGAGGAAGACGAGAAAGAGGAAGACGAGGAGGTAAAGAAGAAAGAGGAGGAAGACAAGGAGGAGGAAGACGAGGAGGAGGAAGACGAGGAGGAGGAAGCAAGGAGGAAGAAGAGGAGAGAGAGGAAGAGGAGGGAGAGGAAGAGGAGGGAGAGGGAGAGGAAGACGAGGAGGAAGAAGAGGAGGGAGAGAGGAGGAAGAAGAGGAGGGAGAGGAGGGAGAGGGAGAGGAAGAGGGAGAGGGAGAAGAAGAGGAAGAAGAGGAGGAGGAAGAAGAGGAGGGAGAGAGGAGGAAGAAGAGGAGAGAGAGGAAGAGGAGGGAGAGGAAGAAGAGGGAGAGGAAGAGGAAGAGGAAGAGGAGGAAGAAGAGAAGGAGAAAGAGGAGGTGAGGAGGAGGAAGAGAAAGAGGAAGAAGAGAGAGAGGAGGAAGAGAAGGGTGAAAAAGAAGAGGGAGAGAGGAGGAAGAAGAGGAGGGAGAGGATGAAGAGGGAGAGGATGAAGAGGAGGAGGGAGAGGAGGAGGAGGAAGAGGAGGAGGGAAAGGCGGAGGAGGAAGAGGAGGAGGGAGAAGAAGAAGAAGAGGAGGAGGGAGAAGAAGAAGAAGAGGGAGAGGAAGAAGAGGAAATGCATATCACCTTCTCATCTGTACATGAGGTGAAGTGTATCATGACATCACTAGGACCTATCACAGGATGAGCCGTCATTCTGTTCATCCATCTTTGTAACTGATCCATCCTCTTCTCAATAAAAGCTTCCTCATAACGACCTACAAACAAAGCAAACAAAAGCAATGACACATTTAGAATATTCAGAACATGAGGCGCGATAATTCAGTGGTAGAGCAGTGGTCTCGTAACCAGGAGGTCCCGGGTTCGAAACCAAGTCAATGAAGTAGTGCCCTTACCTAAGGTATTAATCCGTTCCGATTGATTTCATATTGCATCATTCCTTTTAATGCAAAGATTAGTCAAATCAAATAGTGTGCTTAGCGAAATGGAAACGCGCACAAAAACCATTGGCATTTTTTGACAAAAGACTGCGAAGCACAAAAGCCCCTTTCCCATATGGATCATATTCTTACCTGTGACTTGTTTATCTGGAAGAGGTGGAACAATGACTAGTGTGAACTTCTCTGCTAGCCTCTCATATAGCCAGTCAAAGTGCTTGTATCTCCGGCTCACTCGAATGCCGGTATTCTAAGAACAAAATTATAATAATAATATCAATCTTGTAGGAGCGCTAAAAAATGAATTTACTGAGGGAAGAAGTTTTTTTAGAAAGAGGCAAGACAGGTTAATTCTCTGATGGGAAGTGTGCTAAATGTTTAGTAGAAGCCACTGGAAAACATGTTTTTTCTTGAAAGATAAGAGTGTGGATTTGATAGATAATAGTCTGGACTTGGGAGGAATTAAATTATATAACAGTATGAAATAGTATATAAGTAAGGAAATACATTCCATGATAACAATACATTGAAATATTGAAGAAAAAAACACATAAACAGCAATAACATCCACAAACAATATATGCATATAACTCATTCAGTCACTTTACATGTATAAACATTATTATTTTAACAAATTTGGGGGGGGGGTCATGGAAGCACCCACCCTAGCGAGATGAGAGAATTATCAAAGTATTTTGTTTCTCCCTGAACACATGAGAGCAGAGAGAAATGCAATTTCTTGATCTGATATACATGTATGAGATTATCCTAATGGATATTTTTTCTTTCTATATATCCTTCAATGTGCCCCCTCCCACTAATCCCTCCCCCTCCCCTACCCTTCTCTCTTCTCTCTATCTTTCTCTTTCTGTCTCTGCCTCTGTCTCTCTCTATGTCTCTCTCTCTCCCCTCCCCCTCTCTCTTCTCTCTATCTTTCTCTTTCTCTCTCTGTCTGTCTCCCTCCTTCCCTCCCTCCTTCCCTCCCTCCTTCCCTCCCTCCCTCCCTCCCTCCCTCCCTCCCTCCCTCCCTCCCTTCCTTCCTCCCTCCTTCCTTCCCTTCCTCCCTCCCTCCTTCCTTCCTTCCTTCCCTCCCTCCCTCCCTCCCTCCCTCCCTCCCTCCCTCCCTCCCTCCCTCCCTCCCTCCGCTTGTACTTACTGATGGTGTAACTTGGTATGCAATGAAGCTCTTGATTCCCTTGAGTTTACTCTCTTTCTTTGGGTTCTTGATCTCCCTCCCTCCCTCCCTCCCTCCCTCCCTCCCTCTCTCGGCTTGTACTTACCGACGGTGTAACTTGGTATGCAATGAAGCTCTTGATTCCCTTGAGTTTACTCTCTTTCTTTGGGTTCTTGATCTCACACGTGTATTTGCCCACCGTTTCTTCCCATCTTGGGCCATCTTCTGCTTCCTGGTAAAAACAAACAAACCAGAGCAATATGGTTTCAAGGCTGTAGCCTACTGCTCAAAAATTGTCATAATACTGGAATAAATATAATATGGTCATGGTGATTTAATGACACTGCTGAGGATTTGCAGCATATATGTATACGATTTATATGGTATCATTTTTTCTGTTAAAAACATTCAAAGGTGCAGGTTCACTGACGACAACTTCAAATAATCATAACTTTCCTATTCCTAATCGGATATTGCTCAAACCTTCACTAATTTGTTTCTCTCATTTTCTGCTTTAATCAAAGCCAACTTAACATCAGGATGGACTTCCCCTTTAAGATATATGTTAGCATTAACAACCTTTCTTTATTTTGTTATTGTTATTATTATCAATTTTTTTTTAGTGTAAACATTTAGTAAATTTTCAATTAAAACGGATAGCTGTACACAACTTTGACCGAACGGATTCTTGCTGAACCTAAACGGACATATATGAAGTGCATAGAGCAAGACAACTTACGGTCCTTTTTTTTCTTCAAAATGTCCTAAATCGCAGAAATCTGTGTGTCCGCTGAGGAATCTCATTCAGGTATTAAAGGGCTAGAAAAAGCCGACTTGCTGCTGCTCCGAATAAATAATAATAATAATGATAATAGTGTAAACTTATAGAGCGCACACACCGTCCAGGGACACTCATGGCACTAGCTCACCAACAGTTCATAAAGAAAATGTTTATTTGATGAAAGAGTTATAATATCAGAAACTCAAAAACAATTTTGCAACATTTGAATCACCCATTTCAATCCTCAGCTCTGCATTATCATCATCATCGTCATCACAACTACTACTACTATTATTACTATTATAATCTCAATAAATAGGTAAATAAATCAGACTTACTATTAAGGCTGTGCACAACAGTGTAATGAGGTACCAGAGTACACTCCCAGGCTCACAAGCGAATACTCGAATATTCGGACGCCATGTTTTTTAATAATTTTTTTGACTTTTTTTGACTTTTTTTGACTTTTTTTGATTTTTTTTTAATTTTTTGATTTTTTGATTTTGTTTATTTTTTTCCTTTTTTTGCCACTACCATACCACTCGGCAGTTTCCCAGGTCCCTCACCGAAAACGCATGCAATTTTACTTTGAGTTGCAGTTGAAGGCGCCGATTTAATAAGAATAATAACAGTAAACAATGCTGTTTTAAAAACCAAAGATGGCAGAATAATCCATTTTCCTCCAAGTCCAAACAGAAATCTGGACATTTGGTCCCAGTTTCTGAAAGGTGAGTTTGACAGTGCTTGAGTTGGGAAACATTTTTACCGACGGTACCATGCCAGCGGCTGCTGCTCTCCCTGGCACGGGTAAGCGTGGGCCTGGACATTTCTTCTTTTTTTTTTTTTTTGCGGCCGAATATTCGGGTACGAGAAATCGTACCCGAGTAGTTGTCAACCGTGCGGGTACTCGAGCATTCGACTACCCATCGCAGCCTTACTTACTATGATTCTAATAGTTCCATCAGGTGATGCTCCCTTCTTGGGTCCTCCTCCCAATAAATATGCTTCTCCTCCTGTCTTTGCAAACACTGAGAAACGACTGCATCATAGAAACAAAACAAAACAAAAACAAGAGAAATTAAAGCTTTATATATCCCGCATACTAAGAATCTTGCAATCTGATTGGTCTTAATGATAGATACATGTAAGTACCATCTCCCTGCGATAAGACTTTTGTACTGTAATTTTTTGCTGCTGCCCCACTTGCCCATTGAATAAGCGTAGCAAAGTAGGTTACACGAAATGTCAATGTCAAATGAACGCGCATCGACTGCATTACATGTATGCGTGTTGTGCTTTGTAAAATCTAGCTGAAGCTAAACTGTCTGCAGACTCAGTTCTTTAAATTATGTAAAACTCACCTTAAATTGACCTTATTGCTGATGTGGGATATAAAACAAATATTAACCTCCTTTACTCGGGCAATGGATACAAACTATCATCACCCGGTGATGATAGTTTGTACCATTAGCCTCTTAGTCGATTAATATTTGCTTACTAGTTATTTGATCTCAGACAGACTGAGAGATCGCTGCCTCCGTTTCAGTGGTCATTGCTGGAGGAGCAAGAGTGAAATCATTTCACAAATGCTCTTCTGGGAGCCTTCAGGGGTCAAACGCACCAGAGGGTGCCCAGCAATGACTTACATTGACCAGTTAGAAAAGGACACCTGTCTACCAAGGCAGGAATTCCCAAAGATCATGGAGAATAGAACTGAATGGAAAAACCTTGTCAAATTAGTGTGAGTACGCTCAACCTCATAGTAGTAGTAGTAGTAGTAGTAGTAGTAGTAGTAGTAGTAGTTATATGAATCTTTAGATTCAAAGAGATTACCTTCTGACGAAGGTGAGAAACAGATTCATTCATCTTCAACAAAGCACTACAGGCTCCTTTGTAGAATGATATGATAACTTTAGATTTAGAAGTTATAAACAAAACCTGTCTCTATATTTTGAGATTGGAGACTACGGAAGTTTAGATCTGAGACACTCATCTGCAAAATAAAATTAAACTTAGGATTTTAGAAGAAGTTTATAAAAGAGGTGTTTGATAGCAACCTACATGTATGCACCATGACTTGTAAAACTGCACTAGTTTAAATCTTAGATACCCATCTGCAAACTGAAAAGCAATGCAGTACAGTTTCAGATTTTCTCTGTTAAATAATTTAAGTAGTCAACCAAGCAAACCTCTGCACCCATGAGTGTAGAAATTGGAAAGAAGCCATTTTTGTTTTCCTTACAGACCATTTCCAAACTAAACAATGAAATAGATAAATTTTAAATAAACGGAAAGCTTAAAAGCCATAGATTACAATAATATCAAATCTTAAGTTTTGAAAATTGAAAATAGTCGACCTAAAAACTTGCTATTGACTTGATGACACCATAAAGAGTATGCATATTCACAATGACTTTGCCTTAATTAATCCTTTGCCTCCTGGAACCTGGTGGCCCCTATATTAAGCTTATGGCACTAAATGAATTCAGTAGTCAACGGGTTATTAAAGCATTGTTCATCACCTCAGCTCTATAGGTGAACTGATGGGGTCCACAGGTTATGTTGTCACTGTAATTTCAGCAAATTTGACCCCTGTTGATCCATAATTTGGAGGGGTGCAGAAAATGAGGTTTTAATTTGCATTTGTGCAATAATGAAAGGGTAAATACTTGTTATTCCTTTATATTAATAAGTTACATTCTTCAGTTTTCTATTTATATCAAGTTGTATTTTCATCAGATAAGGTCTTTAATAATGTAAGAAGTCCATAAGACCAACCTCTGCACCATGAGTTTCAAGGCTGCAGTAGTTTTATGCACGCTATCCACACATTTGGAGGGAAGCTTCTCCTCAATCACAGCTAACTGCCTCTGTAACATCATTCCTCAAGATCAGACAAAGCTCACAGACAAAGCTCACTGTCAGAGAAATCTCCAGTAAGAAGCACTTCACCAGCAAGACTAGTTACACGGTCACCAGGTCCAAATTCATCCACGTTGCTCCAAAAGCTACTTTTATCGCTGTCTGAATATCTAAACTCCACCCTGATGTGACAAAGGTAACAGCAACAATTACTATAGAGCTACATGTAATAATACATGTATGTAGTGTAGCGAGACCAGTACATTCTCTGGTCCAGTCCACAGTTGTCTATCGTGCCCCTACAGCAACTTCTGAACTTCAATCAGCAGCGACCCAGCACAGGAAGATTACATGTAGCTTCTTCTCAGCCTTGATGCAGCACTGGTGTACAAAATCAAATGTGGCTTGATGTAAATTTCCAAAGGCATGTAGGAGATCAGAGGCTTGTCACCAAATGCACTTCACAAGATCTTTAGTTTTTGTGCAGCCTTAATGAAGCGCTGATGATGTGCCTGTGTTGAAATGACCAGCAGAGTATAGTCCTGAGAGTGTAGTATGAAGCAAATCTCACAGATAGATATCCAAGCATTGGGATGTGCTGAAAAGCTGGATGAATGAAGGTGAGGAATTAAACAAAACTTTAAGCTCTGGTGTACAAAAAATGCTCTAATGTAGACAAGGATATTCCCAAAGGCACCTAGGAGCTTAGAGCACATACAGATCCCAATAACAGCGCATCAAAGCTCTGAGATATTCCTTGTCTTTATCCTCTTCTTTGTATAAGGCAGCACACATCAAGCAATTCCATTTAGTTGTTGCAGCCAGAACTCTTATTTGATCATCGATGGTTAAAGGTCCAAGACAAATGAAAACAATATAAACAGTACATGAATCAACAGCCACGTCATGCATCAAGGAAGTACCCTCTCAACAATCCTGTTGAAGGCTGTTTCTATAAGACTGAACTAGACAAATGTTATTGGAAGCAACTGAATGTCCATTCTGGCCAAACAAAACAGGATCTCACATTTCTTTAGAGGAAACAAAAAGCTACATATATTCCTTAGAGAGGACACACCAAAGCAGGAGCCACGTCAATCGATATCAACGAGAACAGAGTCAGGGATCTGTCCAAATATTGTTTCTTCTGACGGTCCTAAGGTGGGATACACAAGAAACTCTTGAGAAATGACTTGAATCCACTTTAATATTCAATTGTTGAAAAGAGCATAGAGCACTCAAACAAATTTCTCTAAGTGTACATGAAGTTATGATCGTGAAGCCTCTGGATCCCTCAATGCAACCCTGACCAACCATGCATGTGATTGGCTACTGACGTTAATGCTTGGCCTAACTGTCCAATCAAATACCTCCTTTTACAACTCAGTTGTAAACTTACGTTTCAAATATACATGTACAGCGGCAATCTTTGCCAAGTGAGGATCCTTTAAAGGAGTAATGATTTGAACAATTTAAACTGTAGAAGGCTCTGGTAAAAGGAGAAGAGAAAGATTTGCCGCTACCTAGATATCATGTTTAGGGTGGATAAAGAAAGTCTAAATTTGGAAGAAAACAAGAAGCCACGATATAATCCCTGCCATATGATCCATAAGAGTGTAGAAAAGACATATTCAAGAAACAGTTAGCGTCTGGTAACATTATAAGACGTTTGCTGGTGTTGTATTGCTGATTCATTCAGGATTAGAAATCAAATATGGGTGGAGACACGTAGAAGAAATGTGGAAGATGATATGTGATACCCCCTTTGAACATGCAAAGGGTGTTCAAAATATTGTTTTGTTGTTACAGATGCTCTTTTTTAATTTGCTGCAGCAAAAATGAGATTTGAATGCAGTGATTTATATGATTTTCATCGCAATTTGCAAGAGCTTTTTCTATAGAGGTTTGACTGTCATGGGCCCTATTTCATAAAACTTGATATCAATAACGAGTAACAAGCTACTGTTATAAGCTACTGAAATCATGGCATCTGATTGGCTGAGAGCAAACTTGATATCAATAACAAGTTACAAGCTACTGTTATAAGCTACTGAAATCATGGCATCTGATTGGCTGAGAGCAAACTTGATATCAATAACAAGTTACAAGCTACTGTTATAAGCTACTGAAATCATGGCATCTGATTGGCTGAGAGCAAATTTGTCATAGAAATTTAGCATTTGTTATAGATAACAAGTTTTATGAAACGGGCCCCAGGTATCGCCATTAGGGCCTATTTCTTCATCACTGAGGACTACCTTGCACTGGTGGTTATCCGGCATGCTAGGAGCATGTTGGCTATAAAGGGTCAAAGCCTTTACTTGTAAGCTTCACTGCGTACCAGTGTGTTGGCTCAGTAGAGCGTCCGCCTCACAATCGGGAGGTCGTGGGTTTGAACCCCGGCCGCGTCATACCAAAAGAGGTTAAAAGACGGGAGTTGCAGCTACTTTGTTTGGCGTTCAACAATAAGGGATAGAGCAACATCGATCTGGCGCTGCTCAGTGGCTGCCGGGCTCACGATCAATAGGGCAAAAAGAATTTCCATTTTCGGTTTAACTTAAAAAAAGATTGGAGTGGACTTTAAAAGATTATTATTATCATTATTATTATTATTATAAGCCATAAATATTAGGTATCTTGCAGATTCGCTGCAGGCATGTATCAGCCAGACATTAGAAATAATAACCCTTTCGGTTTGCCAAGTCCCAGGAGGGCAAAAAGCCACAAAATATCCGCAAAATAGCAGGAGACAAATATAACTTTATTTGAATACCCTATCTGCCACCATCAGTAGAACAGTATATTCATAAAATACATAATGAGTTATAGATTTCTGACAGATATGAAAAGGGCTAATGTCCAAGACTCTTCACCTGCAAATTAGCAACTTCCTGATTGTTGAAGAGCATATCTAATGCTCTACGGCAGCATAAATATCACACACAAACAATGCTATTCTGGCCGTTTGCCCATGCTTCAAGCGATCCAGGAAAAAAATATGGGGATCAGACATTTGTTCTGGCGACATGCTTCAGGCCTTATATCATCAAAGGTATGGTTGAGATAAAAGTTGGAATTTTTTTTTCTTGGTTAATTTAAGGTTTCAATAGGGTTACGACTACTACCTCAGTACCACCAAGATCAAAGCCAGCCAGACAATAGCCAAACAAACCATCAACCAGAATGGTTAAGCACTGAAATGAATGTATCAAAGGTTCCTGGGTTGAAGTGGAAAATTTGGTTAGTGTCAGAAATTGATGCAGAGAAACAGTCACAATAACATTGCGTGTGACATTGTGTGTCATAAATGCATCTACATGTCCTCAAAACACTTAACTCATTTCCCGTACATTATTCTTCCTTTATGTCATCTACCTGTGTTGCCACTCTTCAGTTTGTATAATAATATGTCCATTTATGAAGCACAGTCATTGTATGAATATACTCTATTGCGCTTTCAGGTAATACAAAGTTTTGGAAAATTTTGAAAATGGGCTTGATAGTGATTCTTTACAGTTTTTATATATTTGGATGCCCCTGTGGATGTATTATAAGCAGTAGAAAATTTAGCCCCTTTAAACACTTCTGCTTTCGAGACAAATTGAATATCAACATTTACTGGTGCTCCCAGTAAATTTTGATAAATTACAAATAGCGCTTACAATGGTAGCTGCGACCATGAAAATCTCAGAATATGTAAGTGTGATATATAATTTCCAAACAGGAATAGCCAATCGGTCAATTTTAGTCAAGAAACATTGTTTTATGGCTTAATTAATATCTTGACCTTGAGAGGGAGCTATACAACTTAAAGAGTTTATTATTTACAATCTTATAACTTTAGACTCGATCACTTAATATTGTAGGATCGCATATGCTTCAAATATGTTCATTTGAACCAAATTCATGACCCAATACCAAAACTTTGTATTACCTTAAATACAAAGAATCATATTATTACTCCAGCTGTAGCTGAGCTGCCATAAAGGCGCTAAAGCATTCAAGGATTTCTTCCCACCTGGTACCATTTACTTCACCTGGGTGGAGAGTGGCAACTGTCGATTAATGTCTTGCCAAAGGACATTAGTGCTGCAGTGGGACTCGAACCACGAACCCTGTGATCCACAGTGTGGTGACATATCCACTAGACCACGACACCTCCACCTTGTACTTATCAAAACTGTTTTTGATGTAAATGTACAACAAATAAACTTCACACTAAAAAAAGACAAGTTTGACGTGTTGTTGAGTAATTCCTTCGATCCTTACCTTGCAAAGTTTTTCTTGACCGTCCCTGACCGTGCTGATGCTTCGCTGTTTCTCTGTTTGAATTGCCTGTTTGGTGCTGAAAGCCCGTAGTTGTTTCCGTTTAATCCAGAGTCCTACCAAACAGTCAAATGGAAATTAAAAAGTGAGTATGACTTAAAGCTGGCTGGCATAATCTTGAAGGTTAACAAATAATGAGGAACGTTAGAACGAGTGGGAACTACCTATTCAGTCAGAAGTAAATAAACTATGGTAATACATGGACATACTGTCTAGAAAAATGAATGCTGTCATTTTTTTTCAGTATCCCAAAGTAGGACACACATGTTCAACATTACCATATTTTCACAAAAACATCTGATTCTCTCTCTTTTTCTCTCTCTTTCCCTCTCTCTTTCACCAGATGTCCCTTCCTCTCTTCTACTCACCATTACTTCTCACTGCCCCCCCCCCCTCGCCCAGCCTAGCTACCCTCTCTGGCTCTCCCTCTTTTTTTTTTTGTCCAGGAATTCGCATGAAAAAGTATTGAAAATCATGATTCAGAATAATCCCTTCTATTTTCAATAAGGTGAATTGATTGAGTAAAAGTTAGATTTTCATTTAGAAAGTTAGGAAGCTTTCAGACAATATAGTTCCTCAGAGAGGACTTAAAGCACTTGGTCCCCTGGTAGCTCACTTAAAGCATACACATACTTTCTTAGTAGTCCCATAAACCAAACCATCAAAACAAATACATAGCTATTTAGGTTTGTTAATATGCTACACCTGTTTTTTGTTTCTACATCACATTGGGATTTGTCAACCAACTTTTACATCCAGTGGTTGGCATAACATACGTTATCAGACGATCCACTTCTTTTTTCCCCAAAATTTCAGAGTATTCATTATTTAAACATTGTTTGTTTAATAATCATCGAAAACAGAGCCCCAAAACAAAATAAAACAACAAATAAAGTAGAACCATGCAACACAGAATATATGCATCATGCATTTCATCTGTCACCCATGCATAACAGCCAGCTGAGCCAGGCCTACACATATCCCTTTTAATTAAGAAAATAATAATAATAATAAATAAAAATCAAAGAAATCAATACAAAATCTAGAAGGGAATATCATATTCTAAGCTTTTAAAGCATATATCTTGGTTTAGGACTAGGACAAAAGAGATATGATTCCCTGATTTTTATGTGAAAGATATAGAAAGTAGAGACTATAGAGACACATAACATCAAGTGGAAAGACTATAAACCAGAAATGGAGTTTGGATAAAACACTTAAAGCCATTAAAATAGCTTTTATTGGGATATGGTCAGATTTTCGATGTTCAGTACAGTAGAGTCATAATTTGCTGACGCCGGGATGTACTGTACATACTGTACACTTGTCTTGCACCTTACATGTATGTAGTGAAGAGGATGTGTCATAAAGAAATATCTACATTTAGATGCATGCATGTGAACCTACATGATTATGTATTTATCTACAAACATTAAACCTGTTTAAATTGTTGATGGCCATTACATAATCGTCTGTGTGAATGATATGAGACTGACTGTACAAATCCTTTTTATTACTCTCGGGTAATTTCAGGTGATAAAAACCCGACTATTAGTAATATTTATCGGCTTTTGATCCAAGCTTTCTATTCAATTCAGTTTCAGATCTCTAAAGCTACACATCTTCTGTCTTACTTTCTTATTGTCCAAGTTTCCAAACTTAATTTTTGCTTTAATCATTAATAGTCTTGTGACATATAAAACTTGGCCTGTCCATGTATTATACTAGAATATTCCTTCCTGTTTTAAACGACTCTCGCAAAATTGAATCACATGGTAACCATTTCTTTTTTATTATGACCATTCTTAAATTACAGTAAAACATGATGTATCATGAACAATTTATTTTTCTGATAAAAAAGAGGATGGTTGTATACCAGTAGCTATTTTATTTCTTTCATTTAAGTTTAGGTTTGTACTATAAACACATAATGAAGTGAAAACAAGAGCATGACAATGCTTTTTCTCCCTTTTGACTAAAATCTAAAAATATGAAGTGAAATTATCTTACTGGTGGGTAAGAGCTACATGTGTTAAGTAAATCCTGATTTCTGCATGACAGAAAATGAAATATTAATTGATTTAAGATCAGTTTATCTTTAAAATATTAATAAATCATCATGCCTTGAAGCAAAGTCTGATTTCTTCAACTCACCCAAGGCCTTGACTATTATTTGTGATGCCACAAACAAAAATACTGAAGACGAACAAAAACTCACACCAAAACAAGTAACATAGCACACACATGAAAACCACACATACACAGAGACTACATACAACATAATACAGTGTACACTGAAGGTATGACTTTTAGTCTTAAAAAAATACCTTAAGTTACCAGTCTTGTGAAAAACTATGTTTCTCCTCGAGTTCTAAACAGTTGAACTACAATGTATAGTACATGTGCAACACTCATCATTTTCTAGATTCATGCAGATTTCATGAAAGACTATTACTGTATAACAAGTAAAAGCTTCATGAATATGTATCAGATGCTTACAAATTCATGAATATGCATCAGGTAGTCAAAGACAGGAATTAGACAGCAAATGAAAACAGCAAAAAGCTCAATTTCAGCTCTAAAATATACAATATGTAGCTTACAAGACACAGACATATCCACATTAATATAACATGTAGACATGCATTTCTTTGCCATGTCTCCCTAGATAATAGACAGCATTGGAGCCAAAATGCATAGCCTCCTCTACATGGTGGTGCAAACACCCGTCTACTATCTTACTCACTGACTTGGATCTGTTCATGTACCTGGGGTGGTATTGGCCAGGTGGCTTGGGATCGACCTGTCAATCATAATGGGTCTCTATGTAATACAATGGTATGGGGGAGGGGTCACTAATCTACATAATGATGAATATGCATGGTGTAAATCATGAATATACATAATACATGAATATGCAAATAATGTATGCATACTCATGTTATGGGAACTCAGATATGGATATGAATGAAAACTGAGCTAATTGTACTACTGAAAGACATTTACATTTAAAATTACTGCAGTCCATAACTCAAGAAATATACAACCAAAATAAATCATAAAAGAAAAGACATGAAGGAAAATGAGAAACTGCAATGCCTAGATTGGGCAAAACTACACATTTTAGCAAGCATTTACATGTACATGTAACATTTTAAAAACCATGATAAAAATGTACCATTTTCAATGAAAGGTAGAAGGTTGGCAAATAATGTGTTGAAATACTAGCCTTGGACCACACAAACATGCAATGTTCAGAAAAAAATTCAGATACACAGACAGATTTTAAAATTGCCCATCAGGAAATAAAAATATATACAAGTATGTCACCCATTTGAAAAGGATAAAATATTGCTTGAGAGTGAGGTACAAAGAAAAATTATTAGACGAGGTAGATGTACATTCAGTGTAATTATATACAGGTTTTCACGCTGAATCTTGGGTTGTGTAGGGGGAGGGGGGGGGTGGGGTCGAGAAATGAATAACAAGGGTGGATTATTGAAGCGTATTTTCAATCTGAACAACAGCTTTGATCCTCAAAAAAAAAATTAATAACATTCTTTCTTTTTTTTTAACCTAAATAAGAAGCTACAGGAACCTACATGTACATCAGGGGTGGACATAAACAGATGCCCCTGACACATGGGTGCCCATTATCTAGCTGCGGACCTCCAATATTTAGGAGTTTTTTCATCAGATTCATGCATACTGAATATAAACAGTTGAAATCGGAACCCCCTTCCAAACCTTTTGTATGGAGTCCTGCCAGCATGTACTTTTAATAGTCAATTACCCCACTGTAGGAACAAAGGTAAACTATTTCCTGATGTGATGAGAAGCCTGAATACACAAACGTGTAGCTAGCTAGACTAGTACAAACAAACAAACATGACTCATATTGAATTCATGAAACAAAGCTGCTACAGACACATACATACATTCTTACCTGGCTACTAACTTCCTGGTTTCATGTAACAAGTTGACGACAAATAATGGGGAAAATAACATGTTATTGTCAAGCTTTCTCGCCTTTGTGATCAAAATTGAAAAATTGGAACATACATGTAGGATCATTACCATTAATAACGTTTCACATGAAAGTTTCATGCTGTGTGATAGGTGTTTTTTTTTGTTTTTGTATGTGTTCAATACTATTATAGATATGTATTAGGGAATCATTTGAAAAAGATGCAATCTTTACCTTATTAAAGATACACTTTAATCCAAAAGATAGGGAATAAAATACCTTAAGGAAAACTCTAAAACTCTAGCAGATTAGCCCTGCACAAGTTATCCAATAAAGTCTACTACTACATGTAGTACTAACCTTGTAACCATGACATAATTATGGGACCAATACCTGACTAAAAACATACTGAACAAAATAATTCACTACCCCTAAGGGCTAAAATTGGTGAGTTTGCTATCGGCACTGTGTCGCTTTGGGGGAGTTTACTATAGCTTAGAAGTGTAGTGAGGTATTTAGGAGTAAACTCCTTGGATTCAAAATACTTCGGGAAGTTTAACCTGCGCTTCTTACTAGCCCAAATTACTCTGTGATAACACAACTAATGTATGGTTTAAAAATAAAGGGGTTTAGGGCAGTCATGCAACGGTGCATAGTTGACATCTGTGAAATATTTTTATAAAGACATGCATTTCACACAAAACCGATCTGAGCTACTGCAGTTCACTTTATGGGGAGTCTCTCAAAATAAATAATAAATGGGGTTGTTTTGAAAAAAAATAAAAATGAAGGTTTGTTAGATCATTCCTGGTAAAACAGCAATTTCACTCCATGCTGTGATGAACTGAAACACGCACAAACATTGTTCCACTGAAAAGGAATCTTCAAATGGTGAAAAAAGTGTGTCTTCAGTGAAACTAATTGATTTTCATGGGGCACGCAGCAAGGCTTTTAAAAATAAACTCCATTCCAAAGGTCAGGCATTGATTTCAGAGATAATTTTCTCTGTTTGATCATCGTCCTCTTACTCACTGATTGATATCTATCCAAAGTGCGTGACTGCCCCTTCCCCGGCCCCCTCCTTAGTCCCCTCCCCTCCCTCGCTACCAAACGACTGCTGCCCTCACCGGGCTGGTTAGTACTATCTTCCGCAGCGTCACCATCGCCGTTATCCAACGAGCTGAGGTACATGCTATGTCGGAGGCTCGCGGCAAAGCGACGCTGCAGGGGAGATAAATGCCTGCGTCTGGCTATTTCGGGGGACGGGGACGTATCTATAGATTGGTGGCGTGTGACGCTGGGGGAGGTCGGGGAGGTCGTCGAGGTCAGGGAGGGGGAGGGGGAGAGGGACAAGGAACGGCCCGTGTTGGCTAGGTTGATATGCAGGGTCTTGCCTTGCTGTAAGACGGAGTGGGGTGGAATTAGATACAACATATTTCTTCAGCTGTCCCACATATTAACATTTGTGTTATTCTCAGCTTGTTCAAAAATCTTTATCACAGTCCCACATGAGCATTTTGGTGTCAGATTTAATCCATTCGCAGCTAATCTAGATCTACATCCCCCAAAACGAGTACGCACCTTCTAAAGCAAATTTACCCAAGTCTCAATAGGTCATGCAATGGATAAAGTAGAAGAAGAATACAAATCATGGTTGTACATTTTGTTCTCATGAAGACTTTTGTTGAAGCCACCTTATAATAGTTCTTATACCAAAACATTAATGTCCTCCTCCTCCTCCAAAAAATTAATGAAAAAGATAGTAAATTAGTAATACGTTGAAGAAAAAAAGAAGAAGAAAGTGTATTTCTCATATTTATGTACCTGTTATCTTTCTGTTATTCTCTCTCCCTCCTTTTTTTTTTCTTGAGATGAAAACTTACTGACTTCATGAATGTACACCTGTAGCTGGTATAATTTGAAATCATATATCCTCTTTCATTTTATCTAAATGCTTTCAGAAGGTCTACTACTGTAGCCCAAATGGAAAGATACTGACTAATTTAGTCCAAGCAACCTAACATTTGTTATCAGAGTAACATGTCGGTCAAATGAAAGACAGTTGGTTAGTAATAAATAAATATTAAGTGGTCCCATATATAAATATCCATGTCATGTTTAGCTTTCTTTTTTTTTTACTATGTGTGGTCCACTATGTGTGGTCCAACATGCTAGAATTCAAGTTTGGTACGTGTTGTTGGGCATCATAGCATGATTGGCTAGCTCTCTGGTCCCTTTCATTTTCCCATTCATTATTATGTGAAATCATGCTTTGTTACGTCCCATAAATTAAAATCTATGTCAGGTTTTGAAAATGTAAGTGGTCCCACATGTATAGATCTGTGTCATGTTTTTTAAAACTACAATGGTCCCAAATGTTAGCATTAATGTATAATACCTGTTGTTGGGCGTCGTAGCTTGACTGGCTCGCTCTCTCATCCCACTCATCATCATCCCACTCATCGTCTTGTGAGACCGTACTCTGCTGGGTGGTTATAGGCTTGCTGCCTTGGTTCTCCTCTACCATCTGCTGAAGGGAAGAAGGAGATGGGATAAAGAGGAGAGGAGAAGAGGAGAGAAGAAGGGGAGGGGGAGAGAAGAAGGGGAGGGGGAGAGAAGAAGGGGAGGGGGAGAGAAAAGGGGAGGGGGAGAGAAAAGGGGAGGGGGAGAGAAAAGGGGAGGGGGAGAGAAAAGGGGAGGGGGAGAGAAAAGGGGAGGGGGAGAGAAAAGGGGAGGGGGAGAAGAAGGGGAGGGGGAGAAGAAGGGGAGGGGGAGAAGAAGGGGAGGGGGAGAAGAAGGGGAGGGGAGAGAAGAAGGGGAGGGGAGAGAAAAGGGGAGGGGGAGAGAAAAGGGGAGGGGGAGAAGAAGGGGAGGGGGAGAAGAAGGGGAGGGGGAGAAGAAGGGGAGGGGGAGAAGAAGGGGAGGGGGAGAAGAAGGGGAGGGGGAGAAGAAGGGGAGGGGAGAGAAGAAGGGGAGGGGGAGACAAAGGGGGAGAAGAAGAGGAGAGAGAGAGAAGGATTGGGGAGAAAGAGGGAGAAGAAGAGGAGAGAGGTTTAAGAGAGAGGTTAGGGAGAGACAAGGGGGAGGGGAAAGAGAGGGGGTGGAGAGAAACAAAGGAAGAGGGGGTGGAGAGAAACAAAGGAAGAGGAGGGTGAATGAGAGAGTGGAAAGAAAGAGAAAGAGAAAGAGGAGAGAGGGGGAAGAAGAGAAAGAGGGTGAGAGACGGAAAGTAATGAAGAGAGGAAAATAAATTTGACAAGAAGAAAGAAAGAAAAGAAGAAAAAAGAATACCAACGGGGGATAGAGCGGAGACAAGATTTACAAATCGGGGATAAAGTTGGAGAAGAGAGGGGAAACACAGAAAGAAAGAGAGAGAGAGAGAGAGAGAGAGAGAACAGAAAAAGTAAATAATTTGCAAGTGAATTTAAATTCAAAGTAACTTCAATTATTTGTTTGTGTTTACTTTGCTTTTTGTATTTAGTGTTTTTTAATAACGGATGCCCTAAAAATCTACAAGTTTTATGAAACAGGGCCCAGAACCTCTCTCATTTTCTCTACAACATGAACAACAATTACAAAATGCAGGCATACAAGAGTAATGTGCACATGGTACATGTAGTTGGGTACATTCTTCCACTCAGAGATATATTGGACATGTACATTGGACATGTATGTACACATAACCCTTGTCTCTGTTTCACGGTTCTGGGGGGCGTTTCACAAAACTTGTCATCAGTGACAATTGACAAGGTGTGTTATAAGCTACTGAAATTCTTGCTTCTGATTGGATATCAGCAGATTTGTCACTGGTTTTTGTTATTTGTCATTGAAAAAAAGGCTTTGTGAAACAACTCCCTGGTGTGCTTCCTCTTTAACCGAAGTGCAACAAATGACTCATTAACACATGAACTACACTGTATTTAAAGATAAAGTTGAGTTCTGGTCATGCCATTGCATTAATTGTGAAAGAAACGCTGTGGAATTGATCAGAAAAGGTTGATCAACTAGCATATACAGTACATGTAAGTATTGGTGTGTACTGCAAGGTTATGGAATCATCAAAATGATAAGAAATTTGACCCAGTCTGTACAAGCACTGTACACAGAAATATGTATATGGGACTACACGAACATGTGGCGTAATTTGTATGCTGTTACATGCCATATATACTTAGGTTTGAAGAGCCATGCTTTACAGGAAACATTTATTATGTGATGTTCTTCCACACAATGCTAACGCTCACAATTTTTTTTTCACCTCTTCCCAGAACTCAACCTTCTCTTTAATACTATCTAGATAGAAAGAATGAAAAGTGACCAGTTTTAAAGGGGGCTAATTGCTTTAAACCAAATCATTTGTCAAGAATTAGCATTAAATCAACTTTGTACCTGGCTTCCAAAGAGCAAACAATGAAAGAGGAGGAAGGAAATAAGGATTAGTACATCTATCCTGTAAATAAGTACTGTACATGTCCTGTATTATGTATCATGTGTATTTTAAGGAGATTACCGGTAGCAACTTTGTAAATGTCTATCCCATTCAATTCAATATAATAGTTGCTGTTTGACATTATCTTTTTAATGCACAAAATCATGTTCTTCTTTTGTTTATTATTGAACTATTGCATGTCAATGTACTGTACATGTTATTCACAGGGAAAAAATTAATATTTATTTATCGGGGGCTATTTATCAAGCTTGCCTGCATAAAAATAACACTCTAAAATGTGTTTTGCATTGAACTCTACGCAAATTTACGGGGGCTCTTTTCTGATTTCCTGGGGCTCTTTTGAGCATTTCGGGGGCAAATTCGCCCTGAGCCCCCGTGTATTTTTTCACTGTGTTATTACCTATTTCATGTCTTCTTGTATTTTACTGCAAATATGACAATATTTGTCTCTGGACTTTTGCCATGTTCCCTCTTTTTTTCCTTCAATAAATTCAAAATTGAATTAAGCTTGTTACAAAGTCTTTATAAATTGTGTTTACCCTTAGAGGCTACATATGTACATGAATAATATTTTTTTAATCACTACATGTACATATTCAACAAAATTTCTGAATGACTGTGCAGTTTTTAAAAGAAACTAATATTGTGTCTCTATGACCCGTAGCTGTTCAGCGTGCTCTCAATGAATGAGCTAGTATACCGTATTTGCCGGAGGTAAGGCCGCAGCGCCGCATAGGCCGCACCCCCAACTTTGACATTTCAAAGAGGGGAAAAAGAAAAAAAACGGAAAAACAATATAATCATAATTTTCTCGAAAACACTATTTTTTTTTTTACAAACTGATACCAAATTCATCCATATTCTTAGAATTTACCGGAAGTTTACCTAAAAAAGTGATCGCAGGCAGACTTGGTGTCTGATATATACCCCTACCACAATGTACGGTGTAATGCAAAACTGCATGAAATGTAAAAACAAAATGGCGACTTCAGATGGATATTCGCAGCAGCTTCGTTAGACTGTCCCTTCCTTTACCTTTGCAATGCATTGGCACGAACTTAGATCAAGATCTATCGGCAAATGTTGTGTTAGGACGTTTAATTTTGTCTTCATGTCAAGAATGCAAGATAAAATTGTAGGTAAGATGTTTGGAAATGTCCTGTACCATAGTGGTATTGTTATTTAACCGTTTCTAGTCCCATACGTGCAAATTCGTGTTGGCTTTGACTTTCGTTTTTTTTTTTTTTTTACTCTTTTGTCGTAAAGGCCGCACCCCGACTTTTTGATATTTTCTCTTCCAAAAATACTGCGGCCTTTACGCCCGCAAATACGGTATGTACATACTGGTACATACTGAATGCATATCATAAACCCCAAACCATCTTCCAAAATCCGATTTCCCAATTAATTACTACAGATGAGCAAAGCATATGTACAGGAGATGAGACTCTAATTACATGTCATGATTATGCCTTGTTCCCTATTTTTTTAAAGACATTAAAAGCACGACTGATGGTAATACTATTTGCAAATGATTGCTAAAACATCAAAGCCCCCCTCTCCTTTTTTTTCTCTGTCTCTCTCTCTCCTTCCCTCTATCATATTTTCCATACTGTGTGTATTTCTGTTTCATTTTTTAACCTGAAATCTATTTCATCTTTTATTTTCATTGGTGATTGGTGACAATTGTCATTAATTCAAGACACCTACATGTATGCTCAGCCAGACAGCCATTAAGTGGTGGTTTGTCATTATTTTGATCTGTTAAGACATTGGGAATATCTCTTCCTAAACTATTAAGACAGGAACAAGAATAGTTTCTACCCTTCATTCTCATAATACTGTACGATTATTGGTATAAGTTTCAATTTTACTTTTTGAAAAAGTGTCAAGTTTTTCATGAGTGAAAATGAAACACGGATGTATTCAGAAGTGGTAACAGCTTGCATGAGAGAAAAAGAAAGAAACACAGGATCAAAACGTTTCATGGGTTTTCGAAAAAAGATTTGCTTTTCTTTTTTTTAATCACGTATGTTTGAAATTTACTAAAAAATAATTGTTTGAACTAATTTTAAGAAAAGAAAAATTGTGATAACTTTGATGATCAATAGAAAGACTTTTCTTCTATGATATGCAAAAACTTCATGAAATCATGTTTGAAATTGACACACTACAATGTACATGGACATCACTATTAATATCATATATGTGGATTATTGCTGGGAAAATATTCTCACTGATTTACAACACTATCAAAAGGACTTGTAATGCCAGTCAACTTATTGTATATCTTGTTTTCTTAAAGGTAGGTTTTACTACTTCAGCCAGAAGGGATTAAACCACACAGCGAGCTATCGAGGTCACTGTGACAGGTGGCTATCTCATTAACTCAGCTCTCAATTAACATAAGAAAAAGAGGATCATGGGGGACCAACAGGCACCGATTTGGGAAGTTTTCACTATAGAGGGAGCAAGTAGCTACAAGTAGGACAGTGTGCCTTTAAAGGGTTGACCTCTTACAAAGTTTGTTTCCTTTTTGGCCACTGCCTTCTTCACTTTTTACAATTCATCTCATGCATTGTCATACATGTACATTTGTCTGGATGTATTTTTATCTGTTGATCTCTTGAGAAGAAATAAATGAAACTGGAAACAAAAATGATTCATCTGCTCAAGGATGTTCATAATATCTGTCAAGAGGCTTCTGGGTTTTTTTTAAGTGGGAGACGAAAGTGCGTCAATGAACAGAAATGGTTTTGAGAAGTCTGGAAATTACAATCTATCTTCATTTTCGCTGTTATTGTGTATCATAAATGATACTTCAGCTCCTGAGAAATAAAGTGAGTTGATTAAGTGTTAGACCAATGTACTTGTGAATATTCTTGGTGTATGAACATGTATGCTGGCTGTGATGCAAGCCAACCATTTACATGTATCCACTACTAGCATGTGATGATCAATGTTTAAGAATTGCTTTATCTGACAGCTAAAGAAAGCATATAATTTATATGGTACATGAATTTGCTTTCAAGTAAGAAATCAAGGGACCAATGGCTTTGAGTCCTCTCCAAGGGACTTCGTAATGAGGATTAAAGCCTTAACAAAGGGCACAGGCGCATTGACTTGGTTTAGAACTTTGAATTATAATTGAATAATTTGCTTTGGGCACAAAGTTTCTAGTTAATGTAAGAGAGGCCGACATGTACAATCCATGTATCGTGGAACAACATAATTTGTAAATTCGTCCTTGTTTTCACGAAGTGACGGTAGTGAGGAAAATTGTCACGCAAAGTGAATGGAATTTTTTTTCACTACCGTCACTTCGTGAAAACAGCGACGAATTGTTCGCATTGCCTCTTCACAAAGATTTCTCTTTCAGTCACTACATGTACCTAAACACAAGTTGACAAGCAGACATCAAAAAGCTTTTGGAGCTCTTGCCTTTCCTCTTCCTCATAGCTTCCTGTACTTATCAGTTCAGGGATGGTATCACCAAGGTGTTACACAACAAGTCCCGCTGCGGCACTTGTGTCCTTTGGCAGGACATCAATCTACATTTGCCACACTTGACCCAGGTACTTAATATTCCATTTAAAGATGAAGTTGAGTTCTGGTCATGTGATTGCATTGTGAAAGAAACGGTGTGGAATCAACCAGAAATGGATCATCTAGCATAAGAATGTGTGTGTATCGCAAGGTTCTGGAATCATCAAAATGATAAGAAATTTGGCCAAGTCTTGGTAAAGTTACAAACACTGTACACAGAAAGATGTATATGGGACTACACAGACATGTGGCGTTAAAATCCTACCCAGATTTTTACGATGTTACATGACATATTTAGAATACGAAGGCATTTGAAGAGCCATGCTTTTCAGGGAACATGTCTTATCTGATGTTCTTCCACACTTGCATAATAAGGATGATAACGCTCACAAATTATTTTTCACCTCTTCCCAGAACTCAACCTTCTCTTTATATCTATGGCATTATTGTATACATTTATCAAGATTTTTAAAAGAGGTGTGCTATTTTTAACAAAGTAGTGCTATAAATGATGTCTATGCATTTTGACTTGTATATTTAAATGACTGTGTGACTTGTGTTAAACTCTTCAAATAAAATACACAAAAGTGCCTTTACAGAGTGCAATACAAAACAAACTGTATAAGACAGGGAGAAGTAGAAAGTATTTTTCAAAGAAGTTAAATTGTATGAGGAATCATCGAGGAGAAAATCAATCGACTGAGAGCCTAGAGATCCTTTGGGGAAGGAAGTCTTACCTGAGAGGGCAAAGGATCAACTGTACGAGGGGCGCTTCTAATTCCCAAGCTAAACCAGAACAAATTGGATCAATTCCCAGTGGGAACTTATGGTGCACTTGGATTGAAAATTGGCTGATAATAACCTTGTTTACATGCAGGTATTTACTTAAAAAGTGTATCACTTTATAAAGTTTATCACATTCTCCTTTGTCTACTCCTTCCTTCTTGTTTCCCTCCCACTTTTATCAGCGCCCCCCCCCCCCCCCCCCATCCCCGCACCTCCAAGCCTCCTCTCATCTGTTTCAAATTTTCTATTTTTATTTTAATGCTTTTATAATATGAAGTAGTAGGAGAAATAGAAGAAGAAACAAAAATATTGTACTTGTATAACGTTTTGTTCTGGCAATTTACTTGATTATGTACCATTGATAATTAATCAGGATTCCTCAATGCAAAATGTTATGTAACGTGTGTGGGGAACTTGGAATGGCGTAGTTGTTATTCACCCCACATGAATTGATGCTCTTAATAAACACTAAAATACCAAGGATTATCTGTTAATTAATGGTAACTACAATTAAAAGATTTAAAGCCTGTCTGTACTATTTGGCCAGGAGGGATAAGACCACCTAGCGTGGTCACTGACTGGTAGTTATCTCATCAACTCAGCTCTCAACTAACATAAGAAAAAGAGGATCATAGGGGACCTACGGGCACCACTTAGGCATTGCTTTCTATATAGAGGGAGCAAGTAGCTACACATAGTGCAGTGGGGCTTTAATTGGCTGTTGAGGGCTGGTGTCATGATGGTAGAATAACATTGACAACAAAGTAACCATCAATGGAAAGTCTTTAGCAAACGGGGTCCAGAACTTGGTCTTGATTCATTCTCACCTCAACGTATGCCTCCGGGACCAGGCCCCTCTGCCCTGAAGGGTTCTCTGCTTCCCACCATCCCTCACCAACGTCCTGTCGGATGATCTGAAGAACCTCATTCTCGTAGATCGTTAGCTCCCCGTTGTCTGTTTCACCCGAGAAGTCGTACAGTACCCTGCACTGTAAGCAGAAATAAACAATAACAAAAAGGAGATAAATAATTAGGCAGCGTGAAATTAGGCCGATAATTTTTATTTTTGGGGGGTATTTTTTGTTGGATTGAAAATAAGACATACCGGTAGCATAGGTATTTACAATGATAACATAGATATGAACATGGTACAAAACAGCACAAAACAAATGCCTCACTATAGTCATGCATCAAGGTTAAATAGAAAACCAAGACTGGACTTGTGAAAGAGAGGCTCCACCGAAATACTGTCTGGCCTTACTGACCGTCTCTATGGAGAGAGACCAAAGGGTATCGTACGGAGCAGTCAGTGTTATGTATGGCGCGCAACAAGACTGTGACTGCCGGACGATCGTGCGCAAGATCTTCACAAAACCTCACATATGATCTGAAAATAGGTGCTTATATTCCAAAAGTTTACATTTATTCGTTATTTTGATATCAAAGGAAAATTTGATCCATTCCTATAATATGGTAGTTTTCTAAACCAAAGTGTCTACGTGTAAATGAGGAAAAACAGGGGACAAACTTTTTGCCGAAATGTGACGAAAATTTGTATTATTATTATTGGAAGAAAAAAAACAATGAATTTTCCCCAGACTTGAAGAGACTACTGAACAGTAACACTGAATTTTCTCTCAAACATTTATATTGAATAGAAGGTCTGGCTTCAATGCCAATACAGTAGATTAATACGTGTTTATCACTATGAAATATAACATCAGTCACATGAAATTCATGCAAAACAATAATAGTTCAAGATATTTATTAACCAATTACCGGTATGAAAGTCTCATGATTTTTTTGTAGAGCTTTACCTAGTGTACAACCAAACATACAAATACAGATCATGCATACTGTACATGTATTTGCCAGTAAAATCACAACAATATCATAAAATCAAGAGAAGCATCTGGCAGAGGTTAAAGTGTATGATGTGAACAGGGTCAAACGTGGGAGAATTTTAATGATCCCATCAGATACGCAATGTTGCATTTCATCAAATTCAACTGTTTTTCCTCATAAAGAGGATATGAATATGACACTGTCAAATGTCGCCCCAAATCATAAACATTCCATCTGTTTATTAGTCTGTCAAAACAGACTCTTTGGAGGCCATTTGTTTATCAACATTTTTCACTGTACACTGTAGCATTGCATTGATCTACATATACAAGTAATTCCTGTAGTATCATACATGTAAATGATAACATTTCCTGCCATTTGTAAGCCTATAACATGTTGAAGTTTTACACAGGTACAGACACACGAGTGGTTTTAATAATTTATTGAACATGTAACTTTTACAGAGTTATAGGCAAAAGACAACCCAAGGCCCGTCTTATAAATAGTTGCGATTAATTGCAGCTTATTTGTGATTTATATATAAATTGCAACAATATACACAAGAGATAAGGGACTGCAACTTGTGATTGATGAGAGGGCTTGCGATTGATTTGGATCAATCGCAACTCCTGATAAGACAGGCTCTTGATCTTTCTAATCTGTTTCAAAATTGTTTAGAAAATACATCATTTATGAATTCTGATAGTTATATTAGTATTCTGTGAGAATGTTACATGTACTGGACATGCATGCAGTACAGATTAACTGAACTTATGCACTTTGTCCATTTATAAACAGAGAGAAGAAAAAAAGCCAGTTGTGATTCAAGCTTTTTCAACTTGTGAGTGTGTATTATCCATTCAGAGCTACAGTAGAAGGATGTGACATACAGTCATGTACATGTATGTAACTCTTTGTCGAGCTACAATCATGTATAGTAGACCATATGAGTTAAAGCCGTTGTGGCTCCGAATAGATAATACACTGTATAATATGATACCATTTCAGAGTACACGTAAATAATTCAACCAAGTAGTTATTGTAGCCAATGCACAGACAAAAATACATACACGTACATGTACAGTGTAAACAATCTAATGTATGCAATTATTCTTCTGTATACAAAGTAAATATTACTTTATCCTTGATCATTGAAGGGCAGAGACACTTTTCTTTTGTCATTTCCATGTATTTCTGTTGTTACAACTCATTTTGGAAACCATAAAAGGAGTAATGAACCAAAATGAGTTGAATTGGAAAAGGGAAGAAGAAAAATAGCGGAGTTATTGCTGGGCGAAATATTTGTCACAAAATGAGATATTTGAAGGTAATTAGGGCATATTGTAAGTGGCCTACATTGTTGTAGAGAGGCTTCTGATATGCTTTAAGGACAAAATGAACTACTGATTCTGTAGTTACATTGGCTGCAATATGTGCAAAGTTGTACTACATACATGTACATGTACAACATGTATACGTGCTGTATCTATGTACAGTATGTGTACAGAGCTGCCAACATTTGATTTGGGTAATCAGGGAGATTTCTGAGAGAGCAGCATCGAACGACTTCATTGTTGGCGGGAACCAAGAATGGCCTTTTAGTGCCCCTGGTGGGGGGGGGGGGGCAGGGGGCAGGCCCCCAAAAGCTCTTGGTTTTAAGCCTCTTTGAAACCCTTTTAGAACACATTTTTTCAATGATTTCTCAAAATGGAAGGCTTTGATATGGCACATTTTATTTGCATACAATTGATAACATATGAACTTCACATCATATTTCAGACTATGAACTCCTGTTACCTCTATTGTGAAATGGGGGATGTACTTGTGGAAGGCAAGGACTGGGGTGTGCTTGAGGGTTTTCCTTGAAGTGACTGGTAGGTTGCTTGCTTGAGTTTGCTAAGGAGGTCCTTGCTATACTCCCTTTGGTAGCATGGGACATCTGTGTTGGCAATTTTCTCTGTTAGGAGTGCTTGAAGTGTTTTCAAATTCATTGATCCCCTGAAATCAGTTTTGTTCTTCCTAACAATGCTAAAAACTCTTTCACATGAAGCATTGGAATGTGGTATCACAAGCAAAGATTTCATCACTTTGCTCAGAAGTGTGTATTTCTTTGAGCCATTGCCATCCTCCATCTTTGAAATTGCAGACCATTTCTTGTCTATTCTCAAGTTTTTGTTCAGGATCTCTGGTTCCCCTGAAAAGTCTTCAACCTGGTATTGTGCAAATTCCAGCTCAAGCTTGTCCAGGTCTCCATTCTCTGATTGTCTGTTCAAAATGCAAGGGTACTTTTCAACAAAGTATTGCACAGATGAAAATGACACATCTCTTCTGGAACTCTTTAAAATGCGTAGTATTCGCCTTTCGTAGATTTCCCAACACAAGGCCATTCCAAGTGGTAGTCATCTTTATATTTCTGATAATATTTCGACTTCGACATTGTCCTGGATGATATTTTAATACTCAAACAGAGAGCAAAATACAGCCTTGTTTTGGACAAAGTTGACTTACGCCTTCGGAAGATGCAAGTTATATCGATGCGTTCCCAACGGCAAAGGAGATCAGAAAAAAAAAGTCGGCTTCAAAATCCACTCTGCAGTAACACTGCCATGTTGGTATCAAATGATAATCCACTTAAAAATCACATCGCAAAAGTCCCCAAATCAATCCAAAAACTGATGTTGAAATGTGCAGTTTTTTGGGCCGATCGCAGCAGACAAAGTCTGCTTGTTGTATCAGTGCAACTTCTGGCTGCTCTGACGCGACCGATCGGAAACCGGCACCAACGTACCGGGACGCTACGGGGGCCGGCGAGGAAGCCGCCCGGCAGAGCAAGCAGGCGAATTGCTATCACACAAACACCACTCACATTATCACATGTTCCCAATGGTTTGTTAGATTAGCCCGCCAGTCGTTCGGCGTAACTCTCATTTATTACGCTGTTAAATAAAGTACGATATCACGGTAAATTTATATTCGACGACTGGATAACAGGAAAATTCATATTACAGAATTGCCGTGTGTTTGTATACGTACGTACGAACTCAACATGCTAGTCTTGTGAAACAGTCGTTTATGAAAATAATACAACTTAAAATCTGGAAATCCGGGAGATTTTTGCATGGGGTCGGGAAAACGGGATATTGGGTCAAAATCCGGGAGTCTCCCGCAGGATCCGGGAGACTTGGCAGCTCTGTGTGTACCTCTGCCAAAAAGAAAATAAAGCTTTGTTTTAATAATAGAACAATAGCGTTAACAAAATTTAAGAAGAAAAAGAACATCTGAAAATCTGAAAATTTGGCACAAATGAGAAGGAAGGAACTTGATAAAACGTTGCCTTGAATGCCAGCTTCCTGCAGGTGTATGTACAGGTATGCAGTATAACTAGTTTGTACCAGGTCTACAGTGTATGTGTCTGTAGGTCGTTACCGGTACTCACTTCAATATTTGAGTCAGAAATGTACACATAATTGCCTGCTCAGATTCCAGGAAATTTGTCAGAAATGTTTAATTGCCTGTTCACTGTTCAGATGCAAGGAAATAATAAGAAAGTACTCACTAAAGGTACAAAACTTTTCAAATGGATTGTGTAAAAAGAAGTTTTGAACCAGAAACTACCAATCAGGTGACTTTGTCAGGAGTTTATAAGAAACTCACATAAAGAATCATTATATTAAAAAAAGAGTGTAAATATTGACTAGAAAAAAACGTCATGTAGAGAAATTAATTTTGAACAGGTTGATTGACATGGCATCTGGCCAATCATCGATGTGCCCTAAGTAGGCCCCGCCCACTAACATAATTATTGTACGATACACTATTCACACTTGAGTGGGACCCTGATTCTTAAAGGGATTGTTTAACAGTGTTAAATCTGAGATACACGGCTCTACGTGTTATCAGTGTCTGTGATATGGTGTAATATAGAAGCCCTAAAAAAATTGCGCTTCAAAATGATCAAGAGGTGCCTCAAAAAAGTAAAAATCTTTGAGTGACCGGTTTTGCTATACTCGTTTTCTCCAATAAACTGTAGTGTTATGGAAATCGTTTGGCAAACGGTTTTCAAAATTTGTAATTCCAATCATAAATATCTTGATAATGACACAGGCGATCGGCTTGTAAAAGTCATGGGGTTCCTGACTGATCTTAAGGTTTATAATTATCATTGCAGGATGAGCTAATGTAAATCCAGAATTTTGTTTCAGAATCTGAGACAAAGTTACCGGATTCCTTTAAGGTAATGGATTAAACGAGTACTTGGCGATGATGCTGTGATAGAAGTACAATGTACATGTATGTCACCAAAAGCGCAGCCCGAAACTGCTGAGGCTACCCTCACTTTAATAGCAATTATCATTAATATTCATTCAGCAACAAAATCAAGTAAAAATTAATACAAAACAAAATTTGATTTTGATTTCCAATCATAAATATCTTGATAATCAGACAGGCGATCAGCTTTTAAAAGCCATGGAATTCCTGACTGACCTAAAGGTTAATAATTATGATTGCAGCATGAGCTAATTCCAGGATTTTGTTTCAGAATCTGAGACAATGTTACCGAGTCACTTTAACATCTTACCTTTTTCATCATGATGAAATCGTTGATGTGAACACTATTGCACTCTTAATGAAAACTGAAAGACAAATATTTAATTGTTCTCCACTACGAGATCCAACAAAGAAACAAACGTAGCCTAGTCCATGTTATCCCCCAGGAATAATTATTTCCTCTAAAAAATAGACACTTTTAAAGGTTTATTTGTAGCAATAACAGTCTCAGGAACATCAGCACGTATAATGAACTGAACACTGAAAACGATGGAGAACTGCATGTGTAGTTTCTGATTCAAATCCGCTATCAATATTTGGCTTGTAAATGTGCCTGCACACAAAGCTTAACTGTCTCGAGATTGTATTGTACGGGTTAAGTAATCTCTCGAAGATGAATAGATTACTGCAGACCATTAAATTTTCACCACAATAGAACGGTCACAAAGTATCCAAAGCTAGTAGAATGCGTTGGTCTTAATAGTTATCCTACATTACAACATCAAAACTCAGGGATGGCATGCCTGGAGGCAGAAAAACGTCACATCAAATGATCAACTATCGAGAGACAAACAAAGCACCTGTACATAACTCCTAGTTTGTGAAAAGTACGCAAAATAATTTGATCCTCATCCTTCTAAATGTAAAGTTGGTACTTGGTACTATTGAGAAGCACAGCTCAAAATCAATCTACCGTACAGATTATGTTTGTTTGCATGAAACAAAACAAAACAAAAATAATCTGCAACATTATAACTTCCGATCATGAACAAGAAGAAACATCATATCAACCCCAAAAGTTGCTCAAATCACACTTGCAGGGCTGCAACTCCCAAACCGGCAGGTAATGTTTACACTAAGTTCTTAATCATGGATAATGAGCAACACCAAACAACCCACAAATGTTGTTCACATCAGTCTTATAATTGCTGTTACTAACAACAGTGCAGACTTGAGCAGAGAAACACATGTACGTCTACATAATAGCCAGAACAGCTTTTCCTACGAAGTCGCTATAACAGCACTGGCTTTCCACTTTGCAGGGAAGCGCTCTTACAGCTTTTCCTCAGGACTTTCTCATGCCGATGACTCATCCAAAGGAAAAATGTCACACTACTGAGAGCTATGAATAGATTTTATAATAGGATAGAGAGAGATAGAGAGACAGAGAGAGAGAGAGAGAGAGAGAGAGAAATTCATACTTCTTAAAGTTCTTAAAGACAATGGGGGCAGACAATATAACTGGATGGGAAGTAGGCAAGTATCTTGTTAGCGCTGAGTCAGAGAGACAATGTGGTGAGTTCACGTCGAGTGCCAGCTGGAGTCCCGGTTGAGGTCTTGAACAGTTAATAAAAACCCATGGAAACAAATATAAAATGCAATAGGAGTGTGATTCTATTCTTCAGTTCTTTTGGATCTTCAGATTTTGTAGAGTCAAGTCTGTAAAGGAAATCAAGTTTGAAAGGAGGTATGACAAATGGTGGTCTTTCTACATGTAAACAGGTGGTTCAGTCTTTGTTGCTACCACCTGTATAGAAAGACCACCTGCAGACAGCATTTATATATTCCTTGAGTACATGTAGCATTGCCATTGAATCCAACCTGTATACAATGACCACCTGTCTGGTCAAAACATTTTATATGCCTCCGTTCAAACTTGATTATACAGATTTGACTGTACAAAATCTGTAGACAAATCGAAGCTTACATCTACATGTACCAACATGTAAATTCTAAAAACATTCAACGAATGCCTTTATTCAACCAGTCCACCTTTCATTTTTTAGTAAAGGTTATGAATAATTTAGTTCTTAACTCTATATGTACCTACAAAAATATGTGGCCTTATTCTATGCAAATCAGTATGATATCAGTCTCAAATAAAGACATGTAAGTTCTGTACAGGAAATTAGCTCATCTTGTTCTTCAATTCAACCTCTGCCAAAGAATTTTCAATCATTGACCAAAAAAACAATAAAACTTTGCCTCTCCAGATCAAATGAGTCACAACCGGGATGTAAAATGTTTTTCAAAAGCGACTAAAACTTCCTCCACTTAAACAGTGACTCAAGAGGAGTTTCCTTCCAGTTTAGACAAATGTTATCAACATACACCACAATACAAGTACCTCTGAACAATTCCCTTCCTTTCAAAACATTTTAATCATATAAGTACAGACCACTTCAATATTATTTTGAAACATGAATCACATACATGTACATAGTCATAATTTTTTTTCTCCTCTACATACAGTAGTACATGTATAGTGATATCAATATTTTTGACCACTGAAACAAAATTTCAGATATGTTTGAATAGATGTCATTATTCAAGAGTTTCTTTCCCAAAAAGATTAATGTTTAAACATGTATGTCAAATTCTGTTTCTTTCTTTGATCATAAAACAAACAAAAAAGTTTCAGAACCATGCTAAGAGTTGTCTCACGTGAAAAGAAAAGGAGTTGAAAACAAACTTGTGGAAGACTTCAATTATAAATCAATTGACGTCAAACGTCAGAGGCACTCGATGAAGTCACATGGCACATGATTATTGATGATATGTACTTGTTTTCTATCTTAACGAGAGGCAAGTGGCATTCTTTGTGTAAAGTCTTGAACTAGTCTTGAAAATCAGACACTCATCCAAAGCCCTCTATGAGCTACATGTAGCATTTACGAGCTGGACTAAATACCTGGGCTAAAATGACTTTTTAAACACCACAACATATTTCAACAGAAAAATATGTTTTCTTCAAATTTAGATATTTTATAATAATTTTTCTTCAAATTTTTAATATTTGACTGTACTTACATGTATGTACAAGTAGTAGTGTTATACATTTTTGCACAATTAAACTTACGGAGGTACATTTACTTTGTAAAAAACAGACTTCTTACGTTACCCAAATTTGATTAAAAACTGAGTGCAAAACTTAGGATTCTTTCTCTTTAATACATGTAACTTTAGACTATATACAGTAGGTAAAAAGTTAAACTTGCTGATACATTGTAATTGACCAGATATCTGAGTAAAACTTCTTTCAAACCATTAACAAACAGTTGAGATTAACTATGAGATTATCAAATTACTAATAGGGTCTGGACAATACATATGAAGTAGACTATATGAGCAGGTCACAGTGACGTCTTCGCATACCTAGAAGGGAAACCCGTGGGACTGTTACCCCCTCTACCGAAGAAAAACAATCTTTGTATAATGAAAAACTTCCTCAAGTGACATCAATGGATAAACTGGTATGGATCAACTGGTAATTCTGCCTGTAAATGATCCTGTGAATGATAGCCCTGAACTTGAAGATATTAGTCTAGAATTTGTATCAAATATGAATACAGTTTCTCAAACAAACTTTCATTTTCATGAAGAAAAGTATACAAGACTATAAAAGTTTGACAAAATAAATTTGGACCATTGTCTGTTTAATATTCAGAAGTATTGGAATAGATGAATAGATGATGTTATGTAGTACGGTATTAATCTTAAATCTTCACAAAGAAAAAATGGTGAAAGGAATTGATATTTTCAAGTTCAAATTCGATTTCATTTACTTCCAATAGAAGCATATATTATACACATACAAATCGTAACTACAGAACAGATGCTAAACAGTATGGAATCAAGGGTAACGTAAAAGACCAACGCGGTCTTGCCAAGGCAATATTGTCAAGGCAGTCTAGTTTACCTGGCACCAAGACTATCAATGGGGTTAGGGGGTACCCCATGGAGTTGCATTTGACATCTTTGAATGTTAGTGTTGGGTGTCTGGTGCTGATATGGAATATTTTATAAGTTTATATGAAAAGCATGCCCAGCATTAGAACCCTTTACAAAACTTTGAAAGGCCAAGAATAAATACATAGCCTGAAACTGTAGAAACTAGAAAATGAATGGCATGCTGCTTACCTCCCTCAATACACAAAACAGTGCAACCAAGACCTTCTTTCTTTCTCTCTCTCTCTCTCTCTCTCTCTTTCTTTCTTTCCCTCCCTCTCTCCCTCTCTTTCTCTCTATCCCTCTTTCCCTCCCTCTCTCCCTCTCTTTCTCTCTATCCCTCTTTCCCACCCTCCCCCTCCCTCTTTCCTCTATCCTGTCACTCCTAATGTATTCATGTTTTCTTTTGACTGACCTTTCAATTATTCCCTTTCCTACATTTACTCTTCCATTTTGAGTTCATAAACTTATTCTTTTCTATAGGCATCCTCTTTTCTTTCTTCTCTGGGATAAATATCCTACATGAAACTAACGTTATTCAGACAGTGCTCTACTGACACAGACTCTAATTTGCTTTTAAACACACTGGGCTGGTTTACTAACATATTCAAACTGTATGCATACTGTTTAAAGAATGGTTGTTCTTAACATCCTAGCTCTTTAAGATGCCTGTTGACCCCTCATTTTATGTTTCATATTTGGATAGAGTATGAATCGTAGATATGATTTCATGTCTCATTTGACCCTCAATAAACTCATGACGTCGTCATAATGGCCTCTGAACTCAAAATTTCGACATATCAGCAAGTAATGTATGCAGACTGGATTCAGAGTATTGTAGTATATATTCCTTATTAACAGGTCATTATTTACAGTGTACATGCATGTACAGTGTGTACGTACATGAACTTTGCAAAAGTACATGTACTCAATTGAATAACATTTCCTTATTATTTTATCCTTGTCTATTTAGATAAATATGCAAATTATTAGATCAAGGATGTAAATTTGAAGGTATTTTTTGTAGATGCATAATTTTTAAAAGTTTAAAATGGATAAAATTTTGTTAAATTTAGTTTAAAATAGATAAGTTTCAGTTTCTATCTGATATACATGTATCCAAATGTTAAACAAAAAGTTGGCTAGATCTCAAAACTAACAAGTCTTCAAAAAAAAATGATGACATACAGCAATTATAAAAAAAGAACACTTGAATTGTAGCACTTCATATTACGTTTAGGGAGAGTTTCAATCACGTAGATATTCATGTTCGTTATCACATGACTAAAGTAGTTCGTACGCACAGTACGATCAGACAAACGGTCTGATCTAGAAGACTAAATGTAGAGACCGCACTCGATGGGCCCTGTACTATCGCTGCTTATAATACATGTACACTGTAGATTATGACAATCATACAATGTATCCAAATGAGTCTATTATTGTGCTGATTTTATAAGTACTTTTATAAAATCTATCCGTTAATCCATTTCCAATCTAAATGAGACAATTTGGCTGGTGATTTGGTAATTCAGTTCAGTGGTAGAGCAACCAACCAAGAGGTTGGCGGTTTGAAAGCAAGCCAATGTGCTAATGCTCTTTAGCAGTAGTCCTCATTACGTCCCTTGGAGAGGACTTAAAGGCATCGGTCCTCTGATTACTTACTAACCAATATACAATGCTAAATCGTCTCGATCTTCATAATAAGAAATGGCAGATATTTTGTTAACTTTTTGTTATTGCTGATGAGTTAACTATTACACTATATTTTTATTATACATATTCTATGTCTAGATACAAACATGTTATTATTACTATTATTATTATCATGTACTGTTATTATCATGAATGAGAATTGTTTTCAATAAATATTTTGAAGAAAAAAAAGAAGAAAAAAAAGTATACAATGCTCAGGTCAAGCAGACCAACAAAACAAACCTTTTGTAACAAGTACAAATGTATGTTGTAAAATACATGTACATACATGTAACGTGTGTTCCGATTTCTGAGCCAAATGGTTAACGCTGTATTAATGTGTATGATCATGCCTTACATTCTATACTATCACTGGCCGGCATTCACTGCTATTTTAAGATTTTACTTTAAATCATCGCCGGGTCATCCAGTCCAGTCCGATTGTCGCACATTACACAACCTTTTGTGAAATGAAAGTGGAAGATGGCGCAACCTTTAGTAGATTTGCCGTAGGGTTTTAACAAATTATTGGGTAAATTGGAATAGACCATTTATACAAGTATGTAGATGACCTGATTATTCAAAGTACTGTCAGCCCATTTTAAGCAATGACAATTTTTTGTAACACGTT